ACCGCGGCTGTAGGGATTGAGCTATCTGGCCGCTTACACATTTTCTCCCGTTAATAGTGAACAGTTCTTAACCTTGACAGATACTTTTAGATTTCCAAATTAACAGGTAGATTAATTCTTTAATTAAACAAGTAAGAAAAATATCTTACATACTCATAGTCTTAATCAAAATAACAATTTATATATTGTAGAATTATTTTTACTAAAAAGGGCTTAGACAGTTATTGGTCTTTAAAAACAGAAATACGCATTATATCCATATACTAAGATATACATGTATGCACATTACATTAATAAATCCCAGTTTCCATTAATGAAAATAAATATAACATCCTATTAACATTGGTACTTGGATGGAATTCATAATCTTGTAGAAAGAAAACTATAATGTATAGTATTAAAGTAAAAAAAAATCTCAAATAGTATTGAGTTGAGTTGTGTAAGTGTCTTAACATTAAATGCATATCTCTTACAGTAACAAATACTGTCCCTCTTTTAACCTTCCATTAGACTTTAATATAAATAACTGCATATACATGTTTATCAAGTGTTTAAAATTAATAACTTCAGGATGTTATCCTTTCTCTATTTTAATATATGGACATGAGCATCTATATGCATAGCTTTCATTTTCTACCTTTCATTTTTACCAAAGGTTATTTTATGAACGATTCATATACAAACATAGAATATAATTATTAGTTTCACATAGTGATTAGATTCCAGTAGCAGAATACCTGTAGGTGTGTACTAACTGAACAATCTAGAAAAATCCAGTCTAAGGTATATAAAGCAAGTAAAGCAAGTAAAAAAAATCTATCAATATTCACTCCTCAGGGCATCTATGCTTTTGATGATCTTACAACTGGTAAATCTTATACAACAAAAAATAGTTAGTAATACCTAAGATAGACATAAAAGAACAAATTATTTAGTAAACATGAGTTACTTCCCCTTAAAATAGAGAAAACCTGAAACCCAAAAGAACACCATAAACAGCAAAATTATTAAATGTTGCAGGCTTAGTTTTATTAAGCCATACAAAGTAATGGTAAAGTATTCATAAAAAAGTTAGATTGCTATGTGACAGCAGTAATTGCAGAAAATCGGATAGCTTTCAACATCTGGATACTGGTACACTTTGTAAAAACAATCATTCTGTGCAATAGATAAACGTAATATGGATAAAATCAATAGTATAATCGTTTACAATAGTTCCATTACCTATCCCAATACTCATTTGCAGGTGAACGTACTTCTTGTAGGGAAATTTTGAAAATATATAAATAAGGCATCAATGTAGACCACAACGATATTCGAAATCCGGGTTTTAGTATTGCCAATAAAGCTAAGGGACAAGCTGTTCAACTGAACCTGCAATTTCGTGAAAATAATATCACAATGCGCATGTTTTTTACATAAAGTTATTAAATACAAATATAACAACATATTTGTTTACTTGATTTTTACGAATCAAAATAAAACTAAATAACACAACATGACATTAACTGCTAATAATAACAGCTCCTTCCATAGGCCAAAATAAAATGCATTCCATAAGAGACGACGCCGCTGTATGTTTGCTGTATGTTTGGTACCCCATATGTTTCCCATATGTAAAACATATGTGTTTTATGTGTTTTGAAAAACATGTGTGTAAGAACATATGTTTATCATATGTAAGATTAACATTGTGTTAAACAGGACCATATGAAAAACATGTGTCAACAAACATATGTTAAACTCGTGGTTATCACATGTTTCTCATATGAATAAGTTTTATAGTGTATAGAATCAATGTCCTTTTCTTGGAAAAACACTGTTTCCTACCATATGAAAAACATATGTTATTCATGTGTTTATTCTTTAAAGTCTGTTTTAGTGCCTACACTAAAACAGACTTTAAAAAGGATTTTGCCATTCATGAAATGTGCATAAAACTTTGCAACAGAATGTTTTTGGTCTTCAGAAATTTAGCCCATTCAAGGTAAATTTTCTTATTGTTATCATTTTTATTTTTGTTTATAATTGTCCTTAAAATATAAACCTGGAAGTGTACTTTCAAATGGTTCATCATTTTACAATAAGAGCTTTGTTCTTATGTGAATTTTGGCCTACTTTCACTTTGGACAGACTTTAATGAAAACAAACGTACATGGCTGACAAAGCGAAATCACATTAAAGCAAAGTAAATTGATAAAAAAAATCACATTTTGTATGCAGATGCACACTGGTAACTGTCATATGTTTACGTTAGGTCAAACATTCAAAGGGCAAAGTCATAATCAACTTTGTTAACGTTTTGAATTATTCTTTGTTGATGGTTAATAGTTTCAATTATGTACTTAAAAACTTGATATAATTGTCAAACAAGTATAATTTGAAAAATTGTGCCAGCTCAGTATTTATTTGGTTGAGCCTGTTCTAAACGGTTCCTGTGTTAAATGAAAGCTATACTAAGGTCCACGCCCGCAAACTCTGATACATGTATAAGCAGAATACATATACACTTTTTAAAGCTTGTTGTTGTGTTTTTAAAGTTACCATTCTTCCATATTTTTCTTGTATGGCCACATTGTTGAAAATCCAAATGTAAGCCCATTTTTATCACCATAATCATAAAATTTTATATTTGCCAATATTTACCCTAGAAATGGCGAGCAAATTGATCATTTACAGTTTGATTTCCGACTGAACGAGTATCCTTGACAGACACACTTATACCAGCGGCAACTAACCATCCCACCAAACAGGGTTCTGTGGAATTGAGCTTTGCGCTCACAGTGGTCAGCCGGAAATGGCGAGATATGAGTTAAAATGACCATTTAGTGTTCGATTTTCGGCTTAACGACGGAAGAATACCAGAGAATTTCCGACAGACATACCTTTACCAGCCGGAAGCGGATTCTGACTTGCCGGAACAGCTAAAAAAACAAGACAAGACAAAATATGTACCGGCTGCTCTCCACTGTTTGGTTAATTTCGCGAATATCTATGTTTAAAAAGGTAAACATGTACTGGGAAATGAGAAAGGTACTTTAAGTCCATGAAAAATATTACATTGTCAAAGAAAATTAACTTGTGTATAAAACGTTTTAAATATAAGCACATTCATCTATCTATCTTACGAATACTACAGAAATCGTATACACTGACAGTATAAAAAGTATGCATTTGATAGGAACATAAATAACAATTTCCCCTTGAAATTTTAATCACTTTGTCGGAACAAAAAGAAATTTATGAAGTAGACTCCATCGTATAATGTTGTGTTTTTTTCTAGTATATAATAGATGCAGATATTTAACAGCCCAGACAAGACACACGCGTTAACCGATTATGCAAATTTGGTAGTTTCCCCTTTTTATCTTCACTTCCTCAATGTTTTTGGAACGTCTGTTTTATTTTGTTTTCATGTGTATAATATAACATGTTTTCTGCATATTTCTGACTTAAAGCGAAATATTAAAAAGTTATTGGTGAATGGGGAAGAAGTGTCAAAATTAATACGATTGGCTCCCTTTATAGCCAATCAAAGATCATGACGTTATATATAATTGATGAGCGGATGATTAACTTTGTCATGCAACGTTTGCGACTGCTGTGTCCTAAAATAATTTAACTATCTTATTATTGCCGAAAATCGCTAACAGGCTGTTCCTCGTCCTTTCCCGTCTCATCTCCTCGCGCTTTCAGAAAGTAAATTAATTGAAAAGATTATTGTCAACTAAGACCTTGCCATGCGGGATCACTCCTTATTACTTCCTTATCTATTACTTAACGTTCTGTACCTGTGTTATATAGATCAACAAAAGAACTAAAGAAATGTACATGTCGGAAGGCATGAAATGTCATCAATTTATTTTATTTTCATGAAATTCTTTTATGCCTATTTTATTTGATTTTAGAAAACGTACGTCGTCATTCATTTTCTCATAACTGCATTTACAATACTTCAGATAAAGAAATACACGTAATATCACGATGTGCCTCTCTAAAATCATTATTGTATGTCTTATTTTCATGTTATTTGTTACTTTGTTATATTTACGGTTAGCACAGAGATGTCATGCAATACAAATGTGCAATAACTTGGCTAAACAATCAACAATCAACAAAAGCACATCTATCAGCTGGCCTTTGCTGTGTTTTTCGTTGATGTTGATGTGTTCCTCTTTACTTGGTATATTAAGGTCACATTATTAAAGGGAAGAACATAAGCCATGTCTGCTTCCATAATAATCTGTTCATTACTATGGTACTTGAAGTTGTGTCTACTTCTTGTGTAATGTACGTCTGATAATTAATTGATTACTTTTCCTTAAGTTTATCTCCTGACTTCTTATCACTGTTAAGATAGGCTGATATGCAGTGTACCATTTTGTACCACGTTGACATTCAATATCTTATAAACGGTTAAGATATTTATACAAAGTGGTTACTTTATGTATATTGTTTTGTTTTAATGAGCATGCATGTTTTGTTTTTTTACGATAAGCATTTGTTACTTTCCTCTCTTTGCCCACTGTCCTACCCAAGTCATTTTCTGTTTTGGTGATTTCGCTCAATATGTTTGTGTGCCTATTACCTTATTGTTCTATACTAACGTTATGCAATTTCCCGTGTACTTAAAGGGTGATAGTTTTGACTGGATAATCTAGACACTGATTTCTTACAGCAAGGATGATTTATCTTCCTCTTGTGTTTTTATTTACGATTATAATATATAAGTTAACTAAACATATCGTTATTTATCCAAAATCTATATGACAATTTTTCTAAACCAATACATAAGGGTCTGTACAAATGACTCAATAAACACAAAACTCCAATAAAATAACTGATAGCACTCCTTTTAAAAGTTTTATAAATTATTTACAAGTGAACACTTTCTCTGAACGTATTTTTTTTTTTCAGTTTATGCATTTACATACCTATCACGAAATACTTAAGTACTTCCTAGATTCGCTTCACGGTAACAGATCAAGCTTTGTATATTGTAGAGTGTGACTATATAAAGCTGTACCGACAGTTAATCTGTCAGAGAGACCTTAAGAAAATCAAGCAAAGATGGTTTCAAATTGTTCTAAAGTGATTTTGTTTTTCTTTATATGTCTAACGGTCACTGAAGCTTGGTGGTGGAGAAGGCGGTCAAGGGTTGACTGAAGTGTGTCGCAATGGAGTGCTTGGAGTTCAGCGAACAGTGCCGGACAGCAGACGAGGTTTAGGCGTGTTATGCGTAATCCTAGAAATGGCGGAAAGGCTTGTCCCAACCTTACAGAGACAAGAGGTACTTTTTTATCTTTATTGTTTAATTAATAGTAACACACCCATTTATTGTGGGATTTTTTTTCTTCAGGTATAAGACGATAACAATGACTTATGCAGATTTTATTGTAATTTCCTCTCCTTTTTTTGCCGTAGCAAAGAAGTAGTCGGTGGTTGAGTTGACAAATAACAGACAAAACACAACTCTTTATAAAATTTTCATAAAACTAAAAAAGATAATTTAGTATTTCATAAATTTGGTATTATATTGTCGTTAATTTCTTTTTTAACATGTCTTGATTGACATTTTGTTGTTAGAAGGCGCCAGTAGCATTACATCTTGATATAAAACACATGTATGTCTGAAAAACACAAGAGCATTACTACATATGCATGGTAACTATGTTTATTTAAGCTGTATTAATATAATACAGTAATAATAATAATAATTATTATTATTATTATTATTATTATTTTTATTATTGTTATTATTATTTTCGCTCAAAAAAACCATCTTAATGAAAAAAATATGCATGTTGTGAAAGCAAATAAACGTATGTTGTTAAGCGAAAAGACAAATAATTACTGTGCTCACTCATGTTTCCCTTTTTTACTGTTGTTATAATCGTGGACCTTTTTAAGACTTTACTAATACCTGCAAAGAATTTTTGTAACTATAAACTAGCCCCTCGAAGTACTCAAGAACACAACTTATCATAGTAAGGCTAATTCAGAAAATCTAAATGTTTTTTCTACAATTTTCTTCATATCTTGTCGCAGTTGGATTTGTTTTGTTAGCCCTAATACATATGAATTCCCCAAGAAAGGGCTTCAGAATCGACTAGCCGACTCTTGTATGCAATAACACTGTGGTATTTTGATAGTCATTGTTGTAAATGCATGTGCCAAATTAATTAACAAATCAAAAAAGCATAATAATAATTTGTTGGATTTTAAGTTGTTGTTCTTTTTTGCGAATATTTTAATGGTATAATTATAATCTTTATCTTAATAATTAAGTATCAAAATCACATATGAAATATCTTGATATTTTTTCAATAGAATCAGTGTCATGTTTTGTGACTCCTGAAAAACAGTTATGTCATCTTGAGACATCAACTTTGCAATAAAAATGAATAATTATAAATAAATGAATAAAAGTATAATAGTGTTTTGCAAGCAGAAGATTTTTCCGAAAAGAAATAATGTCCGGTGTCAATTTATATACCCATTAATGACATTAAAATAATTGTCGAACTCTATGCTTTTTTCAATTTTGCAAAATCGTTTTCATACAGTGAAAACTAATAACTGATAACAATAACTGATAAAAGTATTCTCGAATTTAAATTCAGCGGATTGTAGAGTTACTGCTTGGTCGGCATGGAGCGCAAACTTTGGGTTTGGACAACAATCGCGAGTAAGAACCGTCATAACACAGCCTATTGGATCAGGAAAACAATGCCCAATCCTTGAGGAAATCAGATACACTGGTAAGTATAATATATAGGCCAAATTTATAAATACACACCTGAAATAAATGTATTTCATATTGAACATAGTCATCTTTCAGCAAAAATAAAATCAGTAATACAAGTCCAACCCAACTTCTAGTTTTCCAGTACACGACCAGTAGATAAATCTTCTTTTTGTCACGGAAACTTATGACAAAGGTGAATCTTCCGTACTTTGTAAAATATAAAAATATGACTTTTGTATATATCAATGTCAAAAGATTTCATGCTGCATTTTTTTCTAGCTTCTTAAAACAATGTATTGTAAGAAAATAAAAAAGATCAGTCCAACCTCTTTTTCCACTATTTTAATTCTTCTGTATACCATTTGAACTGAAGAGCTGATCCATGAATCAAACATTCGAATGTGACATGTACTCTCTAAAAATGTTTGGGTGAACACTACTAAACATTTCTTTACTTATCAACTGAAACATTATACTACCAACTAAAACTTTAAATATAACAACTATAAATTTTTGTTTTCAATGACATATTGATAAATTATTAAAGTTAAAGCTAGCATCACACAAACTTAAATTCAAATATAAAAGTCAAATTGGCTGAATATTTGTTTTTCTTCAGGTGTATTTCCAAGCGTTAATATAACGGCAAAGAATGTTCAAGACTTCTTCGCTCGGCCAAATGGGCCAGCTTCCATACCAAGCCAACCTATATCGCAGACTACAGATTTGCCAAGGGATTTGGTGATCATCATGGACAGTTCTGGTAGTATTGGTACAGCTGCATTTCAAGTTGGAAAGGAGCAAACAAGCAAGCTTATTGGTCTGCTGTGTCCAAACTCCCCATTTGATATGATTGCCGGGTCTCCTTATCAATATAACCAAGCCGCCATGGTGACATACTCAACGAATGTGGTCACAAACTTTAATTTCAATACTTACAGTACCACAGTCGGTATTCAGCGTGCAATTATGCGTGCCGTGTATGTAGGTGGAAGTACAAATACCTATAAAGCGTTTGATCAAGCAAGGAGTCTATTTCAGCCGAGCAATGGTAATTTACATAATCTTTACGTTATATCATCTAGCATTATTTCTAAATGATTTAAGTGTATGAATTATATTGAAAAAAATGAGGGTTTTAAAGTAATAAACTATGTTAAACATTTTGGTTCATTTGATAATACTGACAAAACAAAATAAGAAATATCAGTATTTTTAACATTTTTATTATGTTGTCATATGTTTTGAAACGTTTTAACAAGGTCTAAAACAGATTAATAAAATGCCTGTCCCTATAGTGTCTCTTTCTACATCAGTAAGATAAGGTTCAGTTCTAATCTACTTACCTGCAATGAGTATTTACTTAACAAAGGATGCTTGTTTGATTTCAAACATCACAATTTTCAGGTGTAAGAGTTGCAACACGTGCAAAACGCGAGGTACTAATTCTGACTGACGGAAGGTCTACCAATCAAGCGCAAACCCTAGCTGCAGTTGAAAGGCTTAAACCTGTGGCGGACATATACGGGCTAATGATAGGCAGCTACTCATCGGCTGGGATGAATGAACTCACAAAATATGTGTCTTCACCGATAAATGAACATTTGTTTTATATACAGAATTACCAACAACTGAAGGATTTATTAAGGTTAATTGAAACCGAGAAGCAACATGCTGGTGCAAATTGGTGTGCACCTTTTATTGGGTAAAATCCAAACAATATTTAATACATCAAATCTAAGGTTCATGAAAGTTTGGAACTCGTATAAATTGTTTAAATAATGTTTAGTGAACACTCAACAGTTTACATCTTTAATGAGTTAAGTAAATTTAATGATAATATAAAGCATAACATGTCTATGTCAATGGTTGGCTTTGATTGACCACTTATAAGTTTTGTTTTAGCAGATCGCAAACCTTTGATATTTACAATTAAGTTTGTAAAGATGCATTTATAACAAAACCCATACTACATAAATTAAAATTGCATTTATATATCCATTACTATGAAGAATTGTATCCAAAATAAAGATATCAGACAATACATATTTATCAAAGTACTGTATTAATTAGCGGGTATCAGAGCCTTAATTGTCTTAATTAATCAGCGTATGCCATTTATCTATTAATCAGCGTGTACCATATGCGTTATTGTCATTATTCATCAGCGTATACCATTTTCTTTATTAATCAGCGTGCACCACATTCGTTATTAATCAACTCCACCATACCCTTTATTATCTTAATTAATCAGCGTATACCATTGTGGTTTTAACAATCGTGAATCACTTTCGTTATTGTTTTTATAAATCAGCGTATATTATTATTTTCTTTATTAATCAGCATGCAACACTTACTTTATTGATAAGAGTGCACTATTGTCTTTAATTTTTTTAATCAGCTTGCACCATGATTTTCATTATAAATCAGCGTGTACATTTTTAACTTCGAAATCAGCATCATCACTTTTGCCTTTATTAATCAAAGTATTGTCTTTATTAATCAGCATTTAGATTTTTTTTATTAATCAGTGTGTGTCATTGTCGAAATGTCTTTAATAATTCAATTGTAGTATCACATTCTACTGTACAGATTGTTTTTATTGTGTCTTCCATTTTGTGTATGTTCTGGATAGATAAGGATTTTTACCTGTATATGTATCTGTATAAACTGAGTCAAGGCGTCAGAAGGTAAGAACACTCGAGAGCAATGAACAAAACATAGATGGATGAAAATCGTTTACCTGGTATATGGTTTGGTTGATTTTTTTTCATATGAGATATGGAAAACTCAATATATCACATGGCCCATAGAACTAGCTTAGTCAGTATTTAGCCCAACAGTCAAAACCAAATAGTATTGGATTCAAAGATATTTCAACACAAAAGAAGTAAATAACTACTAAAGTGACAAACTACATGTCTCCATATCTTTCCGTTTTAATGGATTCAATATAATTAGGACTTATAAAACATAGGTTTCATTTGTTTCCTGAACAGTTCAAATTTAGGTCTTGTACTATTCTAACAGTAGCATTAAGATTACCATCGTGGTATACATTAATAATATGATATAATTGGCATCTTATAATACTCAGTGTCTATAAACGCATGTGCTATTCTATCAATAACATCAAAATTGCTATTTTGGTTAACTGTACATTATAAACTTGGTAAATAAAAAATGCAAATAAGACACTAATGAAACAAAATAACCTTTGAAATATTTATTCTTTACCATGTTAAATACACACTAAACATAAATATAAATCAACGTTTCTTGGAAATATATATAGTAACTTGGAAGCACGTAATCGCATTTGAAGCAGATTTGAATATTATCACATGAAATGCCATGAATTTTGTCGAGGTACCGACAAGAAGTTTCATTAACTGAAGTCTCCCAACAAAACCGTTGATGATATTTACCGTTAAAGGTCCTATGAAAATAGTATCCACCTACGTCAAAATGGGTGAATGTAAAGTCTACTTTATTTATCAACATTCGGACTACTAACAAGAACCACACTACATACACACCAAGTATGTATATAAAAAGAAATAACTTTTTAAACATGTGTAAAATAATCTGCAAAACTAATTTTACTTTATTATTTGATAAAATATCTACTACTAAAAGTATGACTGCGAACATTTCTATGGCTTCTTTTAAATCTAGAAATCTCTGATTTGTCCGAAAGGCAGTGTCAATTGCAAACAAGAAAATTGCCAAATAAGCATTTTCTAAAACAAATTCATGTATAAGTGTAACAACAGCACTAAAAATGTTTTTACATTTTGAAAATAAAGAGAAAATCCAAATCAAAATAACTTGGAAAAAGTCTACTTTAGGCACTTCTATAACGGTAGCGGTTTCAGTAATTGTATGCGTTTTCCTCTTTGTTGAACTACATTCTGACAAGCTAATTCCATCAACTGATGCATGCGCTTATAAGGTCAGGAAAAGTTTGCGATGGACATGTCCACCATTTAGGGACAATTTTGTAATCTATAGATTTTCTTTGGCTTGATGCTAGTGCAGTTCTGTCGTTTAGAGGTCTTGCAAATATTTCATACACGCGTTGCTTAGCAACATCTTCTGCTTTACCATCCAGCGTCTGTGTGTTGTCGTTTAAATTTTTAAAGTATTTTTAAATTTGTCTTGTCAGTTTTTGAAGTCGTTGAAGGCACAACTTGCCTTTTATAGCTAATGTTCAGTGACACCGCTTCTCTGGTAGTCGCACCATCTTTACAAGGCGATGTTGTGTTAGTCATTTCATTTTGTACAATGCGACTGAATTTCCCTAAATAGAAATCAAAAAGCATTGACTTCCAACCATACTTCCTTATGTAAGGAAGCACAATGTAACATAAATCAAACCACAAGATCATGATTATATTTGATGATTTATAATATCCATGTGTTAAATTTGCTAAATCATCTAGAGTCATCGCGTGAATTATCTTGATGCTTTGACATTCTTGCTCCTCTACTGTTTTTAGTAAACTGACAACTAATACAAGTTTGGGAGCATTAGTTGCAAGGAGTCCTTGTCATGGTAATATCTCATACACATCAAAAGTGTTTCAGGTAATTGTTCTATTACATCAGCGATTGCCTTGTCCAAATCACGTCGGATAGATCTATCGAGGAGTTTGCCTTCCAGCAAGTTCCTTTCCATTATCATATAATTTGAAATGTGCTTCCTCCTAATGCCATTTTGTATGTAAAGCAAGGCATCTATCAATCTGTCAAACAAACGATGTTCATCAAAATGTTGTAAAGGATTTTGTTCTGATAACCAAAATACTACGTTTTTCATCAAATAAGATGACATAGTTGAGCAAATCGGGGAAAATATATGTTTACATAGAAGTCTTAGACATACTAATAGTTTTGTCTGAGTGTCATTTAGCGAATGAACAAGATGAATTTCTGCAGGTGTAAAACTTATGCGCCATTGAAGATCCCGATTCTCGCTTTCAAGTTTCCCTACCGGAACAACATAGATCGGCAGACTTGTTATTTCAGTTTGAGTTTCCTTTGATGGCCAATTGAATAATCGGCTTCTGTTGAACCATGTTTCAGTAAGTCCATTGAAATTAGCAGGAAATGCACGGACAAAATCTACTTCGTTGGTATTAAACACCTTTTTAGGCAATGAAGGACCATTGTGTTCCGTGTATTTTGTGTTTGCTGCAACATATCCTGTCTGTTGGAAAAATAAATCTTCATTCTTTTTTACAAACTTATCGCTTGATAAATATCGTCTGCTAAATACCAGAGCGTATTCAATGCTTTCATAAAACACTGGATCGCACTGGTCATTAGAATGTATACGCAACAATACATAACCGGGAGGTGTATTTTGGTATTCCATTTTAAACATAACTCGTTTGTCTTTTGCGAAAGTATGCACATTGTTCCTTGCATGATATTCCATGATTTATTTGCAATATGTCTGTATCTGAATTCTCTATTAAAGCTAGTCCTTCCCGTCTACTTCCAACAACAATTTTTTCAATATGAGGAGCATTCAAAATTGTCCTTGTGGCAGACGACAACGCAGTGGATCGTATATTGTACATTGCCACGCGTTGTCGTACTCTATCCTTACTGAATCCAACATTGTCGAGCTGTGCATGTATGAATAAGGATAAAGCTACCGTGTCACAGTGTTGCATTTTCAGCCATCAACTGAAACCAGCAAAAATAAAAACAACATAAATAGCGAGGCATACTAGATTTAACTTCGCAATCTTTTATCATCATTATTGTTATTATTTATTATTATTATTATTATTATTATTATTATTATTATTATTATTTTATATAATCACAATTTATTATGTAAAACCTGTGATAAACGATAGTTGTACTAGCTGATTTAAATAATGACATTCTGTTTTAGGATCATTCTTTCAAAAAGAAATAGAAATCTAGACAAGAAACTATCTTGCTGTCATCAGCAATTCATTATCTGGTATAGAAAGATTACTCCTTGAAAATGTCCATTGTTTGAAAACTGGTGTTGCACTTTAACTTACTTGTTAAAATTTTCTGTCAATAAAAATCCATTAAATTGACCAAAAGTAACACACAACATTAAAGAACAAATTCTGTCCTCTTTTTGATAATAGATTTTTAAAAAAACTAATGTAATCCGTGTCTTTGTCACTAGTGTGTATTTTTAAATTAACTAGGGCATATTTTTGTCCACAAACTCTCACAAATGTCCTTTAAAAAATGCGCTTTTTACAGTTTTAGTAATCCAAAAGACAATTATTAGGTTCAGTATGTAAAACAAGATGTGGTGGGTAAAGTACAAGGGTATTTCAACAACTGAGTTGAATGTTCATCAGAGCGTTACCAAATTAATCTTGAGGGCAGTGTTGTTGTTGTTGTGTTTTTATTTATATCTTTGAAAGTTTTGTCACGTTTATATTTCTTTCCTGTCAATTATTCCATAAAATGCCCCAACGACTGATATCAAAGAGCGAATTCACTCAATTTTCTATAGAAAGATAATGAAATACCTTTGGTATTTCCACATCCGGAGCATGCTTTAAAATTACGTACATATGTAACTGTGTAATGCATACTGATTTTTATTCAAAATTCCTTTCAAATTCGATTTCTATCTAAGTTTTCCTATAATAGTTCTAATCCAAAAAAGCATTTTTAGCTTAATTGTGTATTAATACAGAACTTGTATATCGGTATCAGAAGTGTAGAGTAGAGGGACTTTCCACATTCGAATCGAATGTTCATCTGAGCGTTAAATACCAAAGAGTGTGATGTGTCATATATCACACATATGTCGCATATGTGTGTTGTATTCATCGATCTGAATCTATTACTTCATGAATTTTTACATGATCAGACAATATAGCAACTTTATGCTTTGCTGAATTCAAGTCAGGAATTATACCTTTAGAGTCGGTATTTGTGAAATCATCATAAAATAAATTTAGCGATAGTATTTCCGAATGATCAAAGTCCACATAAATTAAGTAAATGTATAGATATAACAGTACATTTTTTAAATACTTATTCTTATGTTAAAGGAACATTATGTTTTTTTCATTATCAAGTTGAGCTGAATTTACTATGTACTTTTTTAATCACTGTTATAATGGGGATTGACCAACACTTGATATTGGAAAATGTTTAGGATAAAATATAAGTCTGTCTAAAACGATAACAAGAGCGATCAGTAATCACATGTGTCGCCTCATGATGGCCAATTTCATGTTGGGACAAATTTTGTGACAGACAGACAGACGGACAGTGCACAACTAGACTTGGCACTGATCATTCCTGTAAAGTTTGGATAAAATTGGACCAGTAGTTTATGAGGAGTAGTCCGGACAAGCTTTTGCGTATCTGGCAACACACAGAAAAAGAGACCTTTTTATCAAAGGGCCATTACTCGGCCAAAAATCATTCAACCGGAAAACCCGTGCAATATGCGCAAGGACTTGAGCTACAAATCAATCCTGTAAAGTTTCATTGAAATTGCATTAGTGGTATAAGAGAAGTAGTCCGGACAAACTTTAAAAATAAAAATTATTAAAGGGCCATAACTCTGACAAAAATCATTGAACCGGAAAATGCTGACAATATGCACAACTAGACTTGGTACTGATCATTCCTGTAAAGTTTGGATGAAATTGCACCAGTAGTTTATGAGCAGTAGTCCGGACAAGTTTTGTGACGGACGGACAGACAGACAGACGGACAGACGGACAGACAGACGACGGAGAAGTGATCCCTATATGTCGCCACTACTCCGTAGAGGCGACACAAAATTGTGCCACTCTCTTTATAAAGTTTCAGGTAAATTTCGATGGTAAAAATTAAAAAAAAATTTAAAAAAGACATTTCTTTGGGTCACGCATTGTTTATGCGAAAAAAAATTATAAAACTGAAAGGAATTATGGCAAAACGAAAGTTTATTTTGACTTTCACCTGTTAACTCACTATTTACCCTTGGGTGGGCATAGTGGCACTTTAACAGAAACCGAAAGAACAATGTTTGACTATTAACTGTATTTCAGATTTCGGTATACATCTAATTATACGTTAGTGCGCATTTTTAAAATGATTCCTATTATCAGACATATTTTTCGATTTTATTTGAATGCCAAAATTAATATATACATTTGTTATTTATATTCTCTTTAAACATCTGAAGTCACGTGGTCGGAGAGAACCTTTTTAATTCGTTTTAAGTCCGATGTGAGTATGAGAAATCTTAGAGCTGTTCAATTGTACCTTTATGCCCTTTTAGACATACTTTGGTTATTTACATCTCGCGATGATGACTACCCTAACCCTAGATTGAAAGTACTTAAGTAAGAACTGTCTAAAATTCAGAGCGTAAATGTAGCATTTATTTAAAGAAACTTCAATGAAATGCTGGATTACACAAACCTTGATGAATTATATATTGTCTTCAAATTTAAACATCATCACCATCCAAGTCAAACCAGGCCCGAAACATGATAATTATGTTGACTATCTACTTTTTTCAGGCATTTGTCGTGACACTGTTTATATTGTCCATTTTTAAATGCTCTGCCTGCTTGCGGGTAGTACATCTTTAATCCAGAAATCAGGTCCTGGAGAAAACACCAAAACAACTTTTAAAGTCATCATATAACTAAACACACACAAAATATGCAGATGCAAAATATACACTTAAAATATGAGTAATATATCTATGTGATAAAACTTGGCATGCCTTAAATTGAGGCAATTTAAAGGGTTAAATAATTATTCCTAGGATGTAACGGGTTAGGTCTCATTCCGAAAGGGGACGACACGTCAAACGGCATTACATGTACATGTATAAAAGTCATGAGTGGAGCTCTAAGGTGAAGGCAATATTTAGAGTTGTGAGGTAGAAATGTTTAGTTGGACAATAACTGGGTCATTTGATTGGCATTAAAATGACTTCACACAAATGTTTGGCAAATATGAAGTAACAAAGAAAGGATTCCTGCATTTTTAATTTTTATTATTATGAATTCTGGCCTGTTCGTCTAAAACTGTCAAACTCGGAGGAAGTCATTTCAACCAAGACTCGAAACAAATTTTCAAACTTGATAAATATTATGTAACACTAATCTTTAGATTAGTGTTCATTTTCTACTTGCTTCAGTGTGGCGATGTTCATCCTCACCCGGGTCCCGCTTCAGATAAACGTACTACTTCACGGAAAGGGAGACAATCCAAATATCCATGTACAAAATGTGAAAGAGGAGTTACCTTTCGTAGTAAGCAGTAAGCTGTGATATTTGTCAACAGTGGACTCATATAAAATGTATCACCAGTATAACAGAAAAAGATTATGAATCCCTATGTAGAGGTGACGCTATATTTAACTTTACGTGTAATGGGTGCACATTTACTGAACTTCCATTTTCACAAGATACTCCTAATTTTATTGACTCTGAATTGTTGTTACGAAACACAAAATCCTTCTGAAATAAGTCAAGATCATTTCCAGTGTTACTTTTAAAAAGGACAGCATTTTATTCATGTTAACGCGAGATCCTTACTTCCTAAAATATCGGAACTCCGGCTAATTACACTAAAATCCAAAGCAGCTGTTATCTCAGTGTCAGAAACCTGGCTCGACTCTTCAGTACCTGATGGGGAAGTTAATGTTCCAAATTATTCAGTTATAAGGCGTGAGCGCAATAGGAATGGAGGTGGAGTGTGCATGTTTGTACGTGACGACCTGGCGTTCAATATAAGAACAGACTTATCATGGGATGGCAAAGAAATCTTATTCCTGGAACTACTCTTGCCAAGAAACAAGCCTATCATTGTTGGGACTGTCTACAGACCTCCAAAACATTCTAGTCTTTTAGACAGTTTTGAAAATATTTTAACTCATTTAAGAACAAATTGTGAAACTATAATTTTAGGTGATTTTAATATTTGTGTATTACATACATCTGGTTCTTTTTACAAGTCTTATTACAATATTTTACGGCTTTTTAATTTAGAAAGATAATTTCAGAACCTACTAGAATTTGTAGTTCATCTATTAGTCTACTTGATCATATTCTATGTAATAACAAAGAAAAAATATTTCAGTCAGGAGTTTATTCCTAGGGGTCTGAGAGATCAATGCTAATTTTTTTGCACAAAAAAAATTGTGAAAGTTCCGAAAAGGGAAAAAATTTAGTTAAAATCAGGTCTTAATAAAATGATAAAAAAGATTTTTTTTCCAGTTAGAAATTGTGTTTGGGAAAGTACTTTTTTTTTACTTTTACTGATTTTAATACGCATGGATTTTTTTTAAAAATTTTTATATTTTTTGATCTGTCCCCCAAAAAGGAAAAGAAGACTACTAACCAGTCCAGACCTTGGGTTTAACTCTGAAATACAGAATACAAACAAAGAAACTGTATTTAATAGATAAAAAAAAAGAAGGTTATAAGATTTTTTGTAATTAAGGAATAAAATTCAAAGAGATATAAAGTCGGAAATTTACTAACAAATAGGGGGAAAACAAATTTAATCTTAGTAAACTCTGGCAAAACTTAAAGACTTTAGGATATAAAAATGACAATAAGAAATCTTCAAATATTGTATTATCAATTAATGGGGAAAACTGCCATGACGCTGATACTGTTTCAAGTTATTTTAACGATTTTTTTTACAAGTGTTGCTTCTAAACTTGTTGAGAAACTACCTTCAAGTAAAAAAATATGTATGACTTAGGGTCTGAAAAGCTTTTTAATCTTTATAGTAAAAGAAATTCTGATAGTAATATTTTAAATCTACAACATGTATCTGAAAATTTTGTTTTTAAGGAACTATGCAACTTAAATGTTAGTAAAAGCACAGGATTAGATGGTATTCCTGCCCGATTTTAGAAGGATGGTTCTAGTGTTTTGAAAATACCAATTACTTACATTGTTAATCTATCTTTTTCTGAAGGTAACGTACCAGATGAAATGAAGTTGGCTAGAGTAAAACCACTTTACAAGAAGAATAGTGTTTTAGAAGTTGGTTATTATAGGCCTGTCAGTATTTTAAGTGTAGTTTCAAAAATTTTAGAAAAAGCTGCTTATGTTCAACTTGAAACATTTTTGGTTTCCAATAATTTACTGTATGAACACCAGTCTGGTTTTAGAAGGTGTAATTCTACAGATAGCTGTCTTATTCACTTACAATATGTTATAAGAATTAATACCAGTAAAGGGCTATACACAGGTATGGTGATGCTTGACTTTCAAAAGGCGTTTGACACCGTAGACCATGATGTTCTTAGTGGAAAGTTAGAATTAATGGGTGTTCAGTCTATTTCCTGGTTCAGATCATATCTTTCAGAACGTTCACAAATTGTTAATATAGGAAATACTTACTCTAAATCAAACAGTGTGACCTGTGGCGTCCCACAAGGTAGTATTCTAGGGCCGTTGCTTTTTCTGTGCTACGTAAATGATATGATTTTAAGTATTAATAATGATTGTAAGTTAATAATGTATGCATATGACAGCACTATTTTATTCTCACATAAAGACCCAAATTTCATCTCAGAAAAACTTGGGACAGACCTAGACAGCTGTTCAGAATGGCTCGTAGACAATAAGCTGTCACTCCACCTTGGTAAGAAAGAATGTATGCTGTTTGGCCGCAAAAGAAAATTACGAAAGCAAGAACAATTTACTGTTACATGTAATGGTCATAGCATAAAGGGTACTAATTTAGTCAAGTGTCTTGGTCTATATATCAATAGTGATTTATCTGGGGAAACTATTACATGTTAATAACATTCTTTCTAAAGTGAATGCCAAACTCAAATGTTTGTACAGGCAGAGCAAACTTTTAGATACTAAAACAGTTCAGCCCTGATTCAGTGTCATTTTGACTACTCTTGTTCCTCTTGGTATGAAGGTATATCAAAACATTTGAAAAGAAAGTTACAAATAACTCAGAAAAAGGTATTAAGATTTATCCAGAATTTAACACGTAGAACTTCTGTAACAGTGAATGATTTTGAAAAATTAAATTGCTTAAATGTAGAAAACAGAGTCAAACAGTTAAGACTCAATCATATGCATAAGATTTTTTACAAAAAGAGTCCATCATACCATAGAGCTGACTTTAGGTGTTGTGCTGATGTAAGATTTTACAATACTAGATCAAGCAATTTTAATTGTATTGTCCCCCAGTGTAATTCTGTGATGAAAATACCTTTTTTATAATGGAATTAAAGACTGGAATGATCTGCCAGAATATATAAAATCCATTAATAATTTTGTGCAATACAAAAAATCTGTTAAAAAGTACCTACTAAAAAGTTATAAAAGTCTTTCAGAAGATATATATGAGTACAGCTAATGTGTTAGGCACTGTGATCCGATATTTCTGTGATAGTAATACTAGGCTTATTTTAAAAAGGGCATACTTTTATAATTGTATCATAGTTTGGAGACCTTTCTGTTGAAAAAGTGTCAGAGTTAAATCGTATACATATACATGCACAGTGCGGTAACTGGAGTGCAGGTATCAGTTACCCGCACTCCAGATAATGCCCGTGGATTGGTTCATTTTTGCCGGGGTTTACATATTTTGACGGCAGAGAAAGGGAAAGGGGCAGAACTATCATATTCAAATGCTCGTTCATTGGTTATTTTTTTCCGGGGTTTAATATTATGACAACAGGGAACGTGTTGTCATGTTTGACTATGATACAAAATAGAAAGAACACCAAAACACTCGGCAATCTGATTTATACTCGGGGGCTACGCCCCCTCGTACAAATCAGATAGCCTCGTGTTTCGGTGCTCTTTCTATTACATATATTTCCTTTTTCAACCAAAATTTTGACCAAAGTTAGTTAGTTTAGTTTTATCTTGTTGTTTTTTAGGGGGGAAAGGGTTATAAATATGTATTTTTATTTCTATGGACCCCATTGGAAATAAGTGTTTAGCTAAATGGGCTATGCATAGGTGCATAGTACCTTTTATTATTATTTTTTATGACAAAAGTGTGCTATTTTATGCTGTTTTATGATCTCATTTTATATACATGTATATGATTTATATATGTTATCTCTTAACTGTATAATTTTATACTTTGTATCATGTGCTATGTTCCTAAACTGTATAAATAAAATAAATAAAATACTTTAACCTAAGCCGGTAATTGTCCCAATATTTGAGTCTGAAAATTTGTGCCCGTGAAAAGGTTAACATTATTACATACTTAATGATAACTTTCAAACATTAAACATCATGCAACACGTTCATTATATTTTATTACATCAATCATACCAAACATGATTAGATACTAGCTAAGTATAATTTTTTCATGGGTTTATTTGATTTATTTTTAGAATTAGCAAAACTTTTATGGAAGTCACAGACAAACACGCCCCTTTAAAACGTAAACGTTCAATGGACCAGACAGTACCATATATGAATGAAACCTTAAAACAAGCTATTTATAAGAAACGCATGTTACAAAATACATATAATAAATACAAAACATCAAAGAACTGGGAAAAATACCGTAAACAACGAAATCTTGTCACAAGCATTAAAAGAAAATCAATAAATAAATATTTTTTAGAGAGATGTGTAGGTGGATGTAAAAATAAATCATTTTGGCCTACTGTTAAACCATTTTTAACAAATAAAGGTACTATTGTAAAAAAGGACATGATTTTATGTGAAAATGATATTCTAGTAAGTGATCAGTCCCAGGTGTGTGATATTTTTAATGAATTTTATGTACATGTTGCTAAGGACATTGGTGCAGACTCAATACCAATCAACAACAATCACCCTAGCCTTAATTCTATAAGAAATAATCTTAATCTGATAAACAACTCAATTTTCAACCTGTAAATAACTCCTTCATTAGTAAACAGATTGATAAATTATCATCTAAAAAAGCAACCGGTCAAGATGGCATATATGCTAAACTTTTAAAATTTTCTAAACCTTCAGTCGTGGAACATATTACTAATATGGTTAATCTGAGTTTCCAATCATCCATCTTTCCTGATAGTCTTAAAATAGCTCAGGTAGTTCCGGTCCATAAGAAAAATAGTACTCTAGATAAAGGTAATTACATACCTGTTAGTATCCTTCCAATTTTATCTAAAATCTTCGAAAGGTCTATTAATACCCAACTAACTGACTTCTTCAATGACCATTTTAATACTTACTTATCTGCTTTTAGACCAGGTTACGGCTGTCAAAGCACTCTACTTAAAATTACTGAAGACTGGAAAAGATCACTGGATGAAAACAAATACATAGCAGCTATTTTAATGGATTTGTCAAAAGCCTTTGACTGCCTACCCCATGACCTCCCTTCTCATGAAACTTAGATGTTATGGGGTCTCCGACCATGCCCTAGATTTATTAACTAATTATTTAACAAATAGGAAACAATGCGTCAAACTTGGATCTAATTTAAGTTCTTTCAAAGATATTTATAAAGGGGTTCCTCAAGGTTCTATTCTAGGCCCTGTATTATTTAACATATTTTTAAATGACATTTTTGATTTTGTACACAAATGTGATCTTTATAATTATTATGTAGATGACAACACTTTATCATGCAGTGACACAAACATTGACAATGTTGTTGAATCTTTAGAGTCAGATAGTCAGTCATTAATACAATGGTTTTCGGACAATCATATGAAAGCAAACCCCGACAAATTCCAGGCTATTGCTATTGGTAAAAAAAACTAGGGATCAAAATATTAGTTTCAATTTAAATGATAGTACAATCCAATGTGATGAATCTGTTAAACTTCTAGGGGTAACTTTTGATTTTAAACTCAAATTTGATAATCATATTTCTGATATCTGTAAAAAAAGCCTCAAAACAACTAAACGTGCTAAAGAGATTAGGTAAAAATTTATGTAAATTGGGGAAATTGAACATATATTACTCTTTTATACCATCAAACTTTAATTACTGCCCTGTCACCTGGCACTTCTGTGGAGAAAAGTACACAACAAAAAAAACTGGAGAAAATTCAAGAAAGAGCATTAAGATTCATTTATGATGACTATCAATCAGACCTTGACTCACTTTTAATAAAATCTAAACTACCAAATTTAAAATTAAGACGAATCAGAACTATAGCCCTCGAAATTCATAAAATTATTCATAAACAAGGACCAACATACTTACATGATCTTGTTAATATAAAATCTCATTCTTTTAATTTTAGGTATAAAAATGTAGCCATTATCCCTCAGGTAAGAACCACCAGTTATGGCAGCAACTCTTTTCGTTCCTATGCACCTAAACTATGGAATTCACTTCCTCAACACCTCAAAATGGAAGTGAATTATGACCAATTTAAAAGTTTAATTGGTGCATGGAATGGAGAGAGTTGCTCATGTACTTTCTGTCAATAAACCTGCATTATAGTTTAGCTCCATCTTCAGTTTTGTTTCTTGCCTGCTTTCTTTTGTTTTGCTGCTTACTTACATGTATCTGTTTATTTCACATTTGGCTTAAATTTTGTTAATATTCTCAACATAAATGATTATGTACATGTATTATTTTTCCAGTATGCTTGAATTTTTGTTTGCTTATTGTCAGCTTTTTGCGAAGTTTGCTTATTGAGGAGGCTGCTGATCACTTCTTGCAAATTTTGAATTGGGGATTTTTATTTATAAAACCTAATTAGTGGTAACAGTTTTCTGATCCTTTTCATTTTCAATATCGTATTTCCTTTCTTTTATAGCAGTCCAGGCTAGGCCTGGGTCAAGATCAGCAGTATCCACCCACTTTTAATGTAATCTTATTTTATGTATGTGCTAATATGTTCCGCATTTTATCTAGATATATATTATTTTATTCACTTATGATACAGTATAGAACTTTTAAGCATATCCTTAGCATATCATTACTATTTATTAATTATTATTATTTTATTTTAAATTATAACATTTAGTGTCTACATCCCATATTATAGTAATTTAACTTGTCTTTTACCATTTGTCTTTCAAAGTTTATCTTAATGTGCTTCTTTTATGAGTTTTATGTTTATATCATTATGCATGTATGTCGGTCAAAAGCTATACATAGCTTATGTTTTGTAAAATGTTATATATGTATACCGACAATAAATAAATTTTGATTTGATTTTGATTTGATTTGATTAAAAATGTGTTTACTTTTTACATTATCATGTACATGAAGTTGTATCAAAATAGAAAATTTCCGACCTTGGGGCGTGTTTTTGTTGTTGGTTTGTTTGTTTTGAATTGTTGCTTTTATGTTTTGTTTGTTGTTATTCTCTGTTTGTGTGTTAAACAACACTGTTCAAAGCAAATGAAGACATAGGCAATATTTTCATGTTGCAATTCTCGATTGCGGAAACTGGATCTAGAAGAATACAAAAAAAATTAACATTGAAAGGCATCAGACATTACACAAAAACTAAACAAAGTCAATATATCAATTTAAAATACATGTAAATATGACCAACCTATCGAAATGGGGCACTGAAGGAAAAAAAATTGTAAATTTTTCCGTACAGATATTTGGAACGTTTCAAACGTAGTCTTTTCACATTCTCCCGCTGAATTCGAAACTAAATTCAAATCCAATTTATCATTTCTGAAAACTAACATTATCTGCTATCAAAATCAAATATTATATTCATATTATTTAGCACTATGCAATAAGCAATATTGATAATCTATTTATTTCGATAAATTGTCTTCCTTTTCCTACTTCTTCAATACGTAACTACGGATGATTGCAAGTTTCCAATGACGCTAAATCTTTGAGGGAAATTCTGAAAAGTCTGTGAGGTAAGAAAGACATAACATAATTTTAAATGTAAATAATAATGTTTTGCAATGAAATAACATTGCAATGTTATTTAAATAGCATGAATATGTAAATACTATCCTACTTGTCTTAACGTAAATTGATATTTTTAACCAGTATTTCAAAAAACTAAAGATCTAAATAATTTCTGTTAAAAAAATATTTGATTTAAAGCACGTGATACCAGTTGTTCAATTTGAAAAGAATGTTTGATGTTTTTAGAGATAATTTCTCTATTCAAGTAATATAGCGAGCTCGAAGAGCTGGCCCAAAGGCCCTGCTCGCAAAACGAGCTTTACGGTTATCTTGTAATTCGAAAAGTTTCGATGTGTCAATTCAGTACTTCAGACGAAAGTTTTTTAAACCATCACCTTTAGCAGGTACTCGTGATACCATAAATGCTCATTTTGCTTTGCGAGCTCACTAATAACTTAAAGCTTGTTTTAAATGCTTATTTTAAAAGGGATGAATCGTCAAACATCTGTGGCAAATCATCACTAATGTTGGGCAAATCGTCAGGGTAAAGGGTCAACTCGGCCCTATACCAACTCGACATGGGTCAACTCGGCACAGGTCAACTCGGCCCTCTATTAAAAACTTATGTTAGGATATCTAGATTCTAGACTGTTTAGATTGTTTAATTAATAAATAATTTAAGTAGTAAATTACTATAAAAGTATTCAAAATACGATCACTTACAAACAGAAATTGAAAAAGTTGGCAGTGCAGTGTACGTATTGTTTGAAATTGTCTTTGTTATGAAGAGATATCAATACAATATAAATTATATATGTTAAATAATGATCCATAAATTAAGTTTTTAGATTCAATTTCTATGACAATAAATGTTATTATATTTGACACTGTTTGTTCTTTAATACGGCCAATGTTGTTTTAACGATTTTACAAAAAAAACATCTGAAATAGGCAAAACATGCATATAAATTCTTCTTTTCTCTACAAAGTCACATACAAATTGGTACTTTCATCAATAAAACTTTTCAATATCCTTGAGTAGAGGTCTGTTACTGTGAAAATGTTAAACAATGAAAGTTATGATGAAAACATATAAAAAGTAATAAAAGTAATCATTACCAGTAATATATAATTATGGGCCGAGTTGACCCGTGCAGAGTTGGAATAGAGCCGAGTTGACTCGGGGGCCGAGTACGTTTTAGGGCCGAGCTGACCCTGATTCAGCGTCAGTGGGGCGAATCATTATTATCCTATCTGGCTTGAACGGCCCCTATAAACAGTCAATAAAAAACATTAAACGCGTCACAATGTGGGCATCTAATGCATTAAAATTAATTTTTAAACCATTGCCTGGATGATTCCCATAAGAATAATAAAAAGAATTCCCATGTAATGTCAAGTCTCAAAATGTTTAATTTGTTTTGAAATTTTGTGTTTACAGTCTGCAGTCTTTACTTGTTTTAGACTCGACAGTAACCTGTTGCTTTCTGAGGGGGAATATTTCATGATAAATCTGACAGAAAAGGGGGAAAACCTGAAATCAAATTCCAACAACTGAAAATGGAATTCTCCCACACATTTTATAAAGTTTCAATCTAAATTCAATTCAACATGGCATGGAACACTGTAGGGACAGCTTTCTGTCTTTTAGTCAATTTATCAACTAGCAGATATCAGTCAGCTTCTGTTAAGACATCAGGTACTGGTGAAGAATGTGTACCTGTAGGGCTTTTAAGGCAATCTCATTAAAATCAGATCATTGTTTTCACTCTGTTACTCTTCCCTACGTGAAGCGACAGTTAGGATATGATTTTAATGAGATTGGCTTTTAAGGGAAAGTATAGCATTTTTAGGGGATAATATTTTTATTTTACTTTAGGTATGGGAAATAGGCTTTATTTGGCTGTAAAATACACAGAAAAAAATAACTGAAAATATGCTGAAAAGCCCTTACTGCATTAGTCATGCTATGCAATTATATTGGATAATAACTGTAATATCAGTCAATGATTGCACAAAACATGTATTATGTAAATCATTACTTGAATCTGGAATGAGATACATGGTCCTATTAATGTTACATACATTATTTTTGTATCTTTATATAGCAGATAATATAAAATTATTCTGGAACAAAATGTTAACATACTTGTACACTTAAAATTCTATCAACATTTCTTTTTTCAAGAAATATTCTATAAGATTATCCATGATACATTTATATTGTTTTTATACTTAAAAATCAATATAAGAAAATTATACTAATATGGAAATAGAGTACACTGACTTTTCAATATTACTCAGACTTTTCAGAATGGTACATGTGTAGCCCCAATGGCAAATGCATACTGGTGAAAAAAGCCCAAATATAAGTAGATATTTCTTCAATATCTTTTAATAAAAATGCTGAAGAGATTTTATTTCAACATAATTAAACTAATGCATGCATAGAATTCTTGACGACCACCAACAGCTACATATGTACTTGGTTTGATTTTGTGTATTTTTTTCCCTCAAATTATGAAATCAATTGATCCATGTACTTTGTTCAAAACATATCACTAACTGAATCATTACACACAATGATAGGATAAAATATTTTATCTTTAAGTATACTTTAACAGCATTCAATTGAATCTTTGTCCTGACAAATGATGTTATAAGGTAGTCAGTGATTTTTCTCACTTAATTGGGAAGAGGCCTTAGCCTCTTGATTTTGGGAAAAAATATCGCTAAAACTGCCGATTTGGGAAGTAAAAAGGCTGGTTTAAGTTCAGATTTTTGGGAAAACTGCATGATTTTAAAGAAAATTTCAATCGGGAAGAGGCCTTTTTTCGGAGTCTGTTATATAAGTAGGAAAATCACTGGGTAGTGTTCAGCCTTTTCCTGCTAAATATCTTAAATGGACTTGTCCAATGTCCATCTTTCAATCTGAACAAAAGATTTTATCATTTTAAGGGAAAATTTCAAAATATAAATTACTTAGGAAATAGATATCAATTCTGAGTGCATTGTTGTAGAATAATGCACGGTTTGAGTTCAAATGCGTAGTAATATAATCACGAAGGCCGATAGGCCTGAGTGATTAATTACAAAGCATTTGAACAAAAAACGTGCATTATTATACAATAATGCACGAAGAATTAATATCTATTTCCATTCTAACACGTCCAATGTTAAATTGATACAATAATGTCATGAGCGTGTCATCAGCATAATGTTTATTGAGGTTTAAGGTTTATTGTTATCATCAAAGAGGTGTTTGGGACATTTCACCCACTGTGTCAATATTTGACCTGCGGTTAAGATTTGATACTTTATTTACCATAGACTAATTAGGGCAAGCTTTCTTTAATATCGATGATACTGGTTTTACGGTTTTAAAGACATCAAATTTTAACATTTTTGTTCTTTTTTGGGCTAAACAGGTCAAAAATGGTGAGTTAAAAGGGACATTATTTGCCATGAATTATGTTCTAGATTTTCATCAATTTCATTGTTTTTCTTACTGTTTTTAGCTCACCTGTCACAAAGTGACAGGGTGAGCTTTTGTGATCGCTTTTCGTCCGGCGTCCGTCCGTCGTCCGTCCGTCCGTAAACTTTTACTTTAAATGACATCTCCTCATAAACCACTAAGCCAATTTCATCCAAACTTCACAGGAATGTTCCTTTGGTGGTCACCTTTAAAAATTGTTCAAAGAATTTAATTCCATGCAGAACTCTGGTTGCCATGGCAACCGAAAGAAAAAACTTTAAATATCTTCTTGTAAAAAACCATAAGAGCTAGAGCTTAGATATTTGGCATGAAACATCTTCTAGTGAGTGTCTACCAAGTTTGTTCAAATAAATGCCCTGGGGTCAAAATTGGCCCCGCCCAGGGGGGTCATTGATTTTCCCTATATGCATATAGTAAAACCTTAAAAAATCTTCTTTTAAAGAACCCAAAGAGCTAGAGCTAAAATATTTAGCATGAAACATGTTCTAATGGGTGTCTACCAAGTTTGTTCAAATAAAAGCCCTGGGGTCAAAATTGGCCCCGCCCCGGGGGGTCATTGATTTTCCCTATATGCATATAGTAAAAACTTACAAAATCTTCTTTTAAAGAACTCAAAGAGCTATGGCTAAGATATTTAGCATCAAACATGTTCTAATAGGTGTCTACCAAGTTTGTTCAAATAAAAGCCCTGGGGTCAAAATTGGCACCGCCCCAGGGGGTCATTGATTTTCCTTATATGTGTATAGCAAAAACTTAAAAAATCTTCTTTGAAAAAACCCAAATAGCTAGAGTTAAGATATTAAGCATGAAACATCTTTTAGTGAGTGTCTACAAAGTTTATTCAAATAAAAGACCTGGGGTCAAAATTGGCCCCGCCCAGGGGGTCATTGATTTTCTTTATATGTGTATAGCAAAAACTTAAAATCTTCTTTGAAAAAACCCAAATAGCTAGAGTTTAGATATTAAGCATGAAACATCTTCTAGTAAGTGTCTACAAAGTTTGTTCAAATAAAAGCCCTGGGGTCAAAACTGGCCCGGCCCCAGGGGTGTCATTGTTTTTAACTATATTTGTATAGTAAAAACTTAAAAAAAATTTCTTTCAAAAGCCCAATGAGCTAGAGCTTAGATGTTTAGCATGAAACATCTTCTTATGGATGTCTACCAAGTTTGTGCAAATAAAAGCCCTTGGGTTAAATTGGCCCTGCAACGTTGGGGGGTGGGGGTTGGGGAGGGCCTATATACAGGTGAGCGATCCAGGGCCATCATGGCCCTCTTGTTTGTTTTGTTTTTGTTATTTTTGAAATGTACTAAGGATATACATTTTTCAGGATAAATAATAATTATAATAGCCCTGATCTGTTATAATGGTTTGTTTCTTTAATACCCAGACAAAATCTTTAAATATTTTTATTTCTAGGTTAGTTAACAGTGCTAAGGCTTCATTATTTGTCCATAACTGCTGGATACATTTTAAGTATATTGTCCCAGGATAAGAAAAACAGAAAACAGCAACTTTAATCAATTATTTATTTGAAAACAGGCATGTTTTATTGATTTGTTTTGAATCATTACCAGAAACAAATTGATTAGTTGTGGTTACCGTAGATTATCAGTCCAGCGTTATAATTTGACATGCAGCATCATACATGGCAGGATATATGCTATTCAATCATGGGGACAGCATTGTAACACTGATGTTTTAATTATTGGCTAAATGAGATGTTATTATACCGGTCTTGGACATACTGCTGTGGGATGTAACATTAAACCGATGTCTTGAACTGAAATGTCGCAGGGCTTAATTGGAAATCAATATAACCTGTTTAGAAACAAGGTGTCGTAAATAGAATAGTGTCATCTTGGGCTGAGGTTTAAATTACACTTACACAGGTCATGCTATGTTAAATATTAAGTGAAATATGTTCATGAATATTGAATGAAATTTGGCAAGTTTTATGTTATAATGTGCGATGATGATAATGATATGGATCATTGGTTTTGATCGACTTTTAAATCACGGAATATGATTCTAAACATGTGTGCCTTATCTTTTATATGAACGATGGTGAAAATATGTAAATCTTTAACATAGATCTACATTTATAATGATATTTTGTAACACTCAGTATATTAGACGGATCTACGTTAAATCTTTTCAATTTATTGTCTGCAATTTATTTTTTGGATTGATAAATTTTCTATTCTTTGTACAAGTTGAGATAAACTTAGTGAAGATATAAAATTATTTTGTGAATTGTATGAAATATTTCACAATATCAGTCATTATTTGATATACATTTGTATATACATGTATGATTTGATTAAAAAACTTTTAGTTGAAAAATTAATTAAAAAATCTGCGGTAGTTGTTGAAATAAGCATTAAAATGGTGAGTAAAATAATTTGTTCCTCATTTTGTCAATGATTTCATTCTTTCACAGATTACTTAAATTAAAGATTGGGATGCAACACTATAGACACATTTGTACATTCAAATTGTTATGAAAAACAATATAAACCTTCGTCCACATTTCAATTTTCCATGTAAAATATTGACACTTGACAGCAACACTAAGGTTGTGCATGGGTTGAGGGTTTCACATTCATTCCGGTGGCAATAGTAAATAAACCAGACACAGGGTTTAACATCGTGGGTTGTATCTGCTGATACTGATACCCAATCGGTCAGCATCAGACCTTTCACAAGTGTTTATCCCAAAGTCATATTGAAAAATTATTTTAGGAAATTATATTAAGTAAATATAAAAACAATTTGATAAACTGATTCTATATTTCTTTTAATGTAGGACAAACCAATTATAAAAATTGTTGATATAAATTAATTGTTTATTGTTTTAAGTTCATAACATGCTGCTTAAATAACGTGTATGGATAAAGATTATACCCCCTATAATGTATTATTATTGCAGCAAACATGTATCGAGTATCGCTAATGTGTTTATTTATTTGTTTATATACTGATGATTTTATAAACAATAAGATAATGAAGTATTGTAATAATTATTATTTTTCTGTCATAAACAACTTGGGGAATTAAAATGGCCATCATAAATATGGTATGAGAACTTTTTTTTTTAATCTTTTATTTTTGTTTTGTAGTCTTGAGAGTTATTTGTTCTTAATATTGAAAATGGTTAGACATGATATGCATGTGTTTTTCTTTTCAATCATACAAATGCATTAACAATGAAAAGATGTTTATTGGGACACTGCATGAGACTGCATGGACAAATTATTACAGAAAAGTTCTTTTAGGATCTGTAAATTGATATTGCTTAACATTGCATTAGAATAACATAATATTCAACAGAAGGTTTTTAGCTCGACTATTCGATAAGAATAAGTAGAGCTATTGCAGTCACCCGAGCGTCGGCGTCGGCGTAACCACTTATGTTAAAGTTTTTGTAATACTTCAAATATTTTCTAAGTCCATAGACATATGGCTTTGAAACTTTGCACACTTGTTCACCATCATGACCCCAACCTGTAGACTGGAGGAGGTAACTCTATCAAGCATTTTGACAGAATTATGCCCCTTTTTCGACTTAGAATTTACGTTAAAGTTTTTGTAATAGTTCAAATATTTTCAAAGTCCATTGACATATGGCTTTGAAACTTTGCACACTTGTTCACCATCGTGACCCCAACCTGTAAACAGGAGGAGGTAACTGTATCAAGCATTTTTTTTACTATCAAGCACTAAGAATAGTCGAGCGTTGCTGTCCTACCGACAGCTCTTGTTTTAATTACATTTAAATTTGACCAAATTTAACAAAAGAAACCATTTTGTCATATAGATAATAGCAGATGTTTGATGATTTGAAAAAAGCAAAAAAAAAACAAAAAACACCAAATGTGTCATGCAATTAGCAGTAGTCTTGTGTGTACATGTACATTGACTTGATGTGGTGTTACTGTTCATAATGTTGTATTCGGACAATCTACTGTAAGTGGGAAATACAAGGTCACTAAGATCCGGTGAAAATAAATTGTAACACCGGTCACTAATAATTTTGAAACCATTCATTTTTTATCTAATTGAAAGTAAAATGAGAATTTTTATCAGGAATTGAAACAGGTATTTTGAGAAAAATAGGAATTTCTATTAATTGAGAAATTTATAGGTATTTTGAAAAAATACTGCACATTGTTAAATTCATCTTAAACCTAATATTCCTGTTATAATTGATAATTTTGCTTAAATAGTTAAATGACTGTCCAATTTAAGAAACAAAAAATGGTGAAACATTATCAGTTCAGATTTTAACCCGTGGTTTTAAATGACATATTTCATATCAAAATTGTCTCGATGATCAAAATTTAATTTCAGCTTGAAGTGGGGATTAATCTAGATTTATCTTCGGCTAATAATGTCCGATGGTGATATATTGATATATATTCTGGACTGAAGTTCAGACCTCACGGGTTATAGTTTGTCAAAATATTTACTATCGGTCAATTGGAAAAATGAAGTTTGACTTAATAACATGGAAATTTGTTAATGGTTTGTTTAAATTTAAGGTAAGCAAATTTGATGATTGATTTCTCCTTTAAGTAACTTTGCTGTTGAGTTACTTTTTGAATTGTATTAAATACTTAATAATATAACAAAAGGAATTTAAAAAAAATAAAAGTACATGTAGTTTGATTTAAAGCAGGGAATTCTTTTATCAATATGCTTTGTGTTACCCTGTATAGTATGGAATAACCATGAATTCCTTGATTTTTATTAATTCTTAACTTGGGTAAGCTGTAATTTTATATAAAATAATGAAAATGATGAAAGTAGTAGTTGTTTTTTTTAAGAGTTGAAGTACGATTTTTACAATCTCACAAAACATCTATATTATATCTTTAAAGGGACTCCACTGAGGTTTAAAAGCCTAAAAACATAACGTTAGAATTTCTTACATAAATGAACTGGGGCGCTTTAAACAGAAATATATGCAAAGATAGTTAAGAAATATACTTTAAAATAAAACGAAAATCATAGTTTTATGCTTTTCTTAGTCTAATTTGAGTTAAAAGCATTTAAACGCTTTTCATTTTGGGGCATTTTTTTACAATTTGAATAATTATTATGGAAAAACAAAGTGCACGAATGATCTTAAAGTTTGCACAAAGATTCGTGGTCTACACCTACATCAAATGGTACATTGTACATTTATCTGGAAAAAAATATTTCAGTCCCATCATGTAAAAAAACCTCAGTGGATTCCCTTTAATTTTGATGTTGTAAATGATTTCTTTTTTTTAGGTTTTTGCTTGTCTACTACTTGTTCTTATTTTCTTATTATTTTTTAATGCGGATATCGAGTTTCTTATACTTAATCAACCGTTAAACAAAAATGTATCTTTTATGTGTTGTGGCTAATTCAAGGTTAAATTGATGATATTGTGTCAGGTAAAACTTTGTGTCAGATTGAAATAATGGTAGCTATTGATAAAAGTGTCAAGGGAAATTTTAAACTGATTTGTGAATGAATAGCTTCTTTAATGCAAGGTAAAATGTTTGTAATTTGAAATTTTATCGAAACTTTTCAACAAAGGTTTAAAGATTCAGTGTGTTTTCATTTATAACCTTTCTACAATATCATATTGAGTTTTAGTGTTTGTGGCTTAAATCTGCCATAACTGCTGATCATGTAGATTTTTCTTTCCATTTTTTTCCAGAATGTGAAAATTTATAACATATTTTAATTACCATTTTAAGTTAAGAATATTCTTGATGGGTAATAAAATTGGCCTGTTATGATTTGTAAATTAACTTAAGTTGCTCTGAGGTGGTGGGGAGGGGGCATCACATATATAGTAAACATCCATTAATTCTATTTCATATAACCTGTATATGACATTCCACAATAGATTAAATTAAAATGAATTTGGCCATATATTATAATTATATAGATAATATAAACCACATGTCCAATGAGAATTGACTTTACAAATGTGAATTGTTTTAAATAAAGATATCAATATTTAAATTTAATTAATATGAACAATTAGTCAAACCTTAAGATCTAGATTGTGAAAAAGGTTTTTTTAAGTAATACCAGCAACTTGATTTTTATACAAATTTCATCTGTTTTCTTTTTTCAGGATGGCTGACTGGAGTATACTGAAGCCTTCTGGGAATGATTTTCTATCGTCATTGACAACATACAGTAACCATGACCCGACCTTGACCCAGTTTCACAATCACATGATGAGTAGTTTTATAGACAGGAATTTCTCCTCCCAGTCTATTTTTGATAAGAATACGTTCTGTACACCAGACAATGTGGATGATTGTTTGACACATTTAAACCAGGTAGTGTGCCCTTACCATAGTATCATAAATGGACTTGCCCATGTTTCATTCAGGACAAAACCATTAATCTAATTTTTAGAGAAAATTTCAAAATATGTTGTGGCTGAATAGTTAACAATGCAATATCTATGTGCATAACCACTCGAGACTTTATATCATCACCAAAGTGCAGGATTAAATCCTAAATTTAATAGGAGTTAGCCAGTTATTGCTCTAAGGTGATGACGTATCTTTTGGATCATATTCAAGAACCATTACTCTTACATTGATTTTCACTGAATTTTTCCCCTTTGTGATCAAGGTTTTTGTTTTACTTCAAATACAGACACTGAAAAAGGTTGAGCATCCTCAATAATCGGAATGGCAGATCTTGTTCCATAAAAAACAATATGTAGTACTTTCTGTTATAATTTCGGATTATCTAGAAGAAATGTTTTCATAAATTTCTAGTGTATCTCTCATGTTGATTATTGTCTTTTTCTTTCCATTTAATGATATTTTATTTCTATTCTTATGTTTTAACTTTTATTTATCTGCTTTGAATGTAACAGTAGTAAAAACAGCTGAATTCATTGTTGATATATAACTATACTCTAGGAACTAACAGGGCTTGGGTTACAACCAGTTAGTAGAGATGGAGTGGGGTGTACCACATCGCTCATCAACAGACTGGAAGAAATTCTAAGAATGTACCAGAGAAGTAATAGAATCAAAGAAGAGCTGGAAAATAGGTACGTTGTCAGTAAATGTATGCAGACGTAGAATTTTTTTTCTTATTTTAGAAGTATTATGGCTTTTCCACAGTTTTGACTTTTTTAACATGACTGTATTCATCACTAAATGCAGAAATTAATAGCCATTTGCTATTTAGTGACATCAGCCCTCATAGAGTTTGGAATGAGATGATTCAATGAAACTTGTTAGCAAGCTATTGTTAAGACCTAGCTTCAGATTGTTCTTTTCTTGTTATAATATATTCTTTGTTGCACTTTATCATATTAGGGTACAATATAAACTCTTTGTTGCACTTTATCATATTAGGGTACAATATAAACTCTTTGTTGCACTTTATCATATTAGGGTACAATATAAACTCTTTGTTGCACTTTATCATATTAGGGTACAATATAAACTCTTTGTTGCACTTTATCATATAAGGGTACAATATAAACTCTTTGTTGCACTTTATCATATTAGGGTACAATATATATTCTTTGCTGCACTTTATCATATTAGGGTACAATATAAACTCTTTGTTGCACTTTATCATATTAGGGTACAATATAAACTCTTTGTTGCACTTTGTTATATTTGGGTACAATATATATTCTTTGTTGCACTTTATTATATAAGGGTACATCGTATAAGTTGTGATGCGTCAGAGAACCAGTCAGTCATCCGTCGGTTGAAGAACGACAAGGAACGTCTGGAGCGATCAGTCGCTCAAGAGAAGGAACTGCACAGACAGACACATAACAAAATAAAAAATGTCACGACAAAGTTAAAAACAGAAAAAGATGAGGTAAGGAAATATTGTTTTTTCACTACCCTGGCCCTTCAATATCCCTTTTTGTGTCGCCTTTAAATATCCTTTTTTGTGTTGCCTTGAAAAAGTCTACATATAGGGTTTATTTCAGGCTTGTTCCGAGCATAACTGCCTCACTATAAGTCAGATTGACTCAAAACTTTGTAATAATGTGGCATTGGTTGAACCAGTGAATTCTATTTCAAATAAAATTATTGCTGTAGCTAGGTCTGTTGTGAAGTCTGATCATGGGCATGCTGCCTGTAGATTGATGAATCCTTTTCTTTTTGAGATTAACATCACGGCAAATACAGTAATTGTGAAACTTTTCCCTATAGATGAAACTACAATCAGACAAATTGATGATGAACTGTTGGATGTTTCTGATGATGCCATATGTGCAAAAATAGATATATTATTTAGGCGTTAGGCAATAAAAATGAAGGTCAGAAAAACACAGATGAAGCATCATCTTCTTCTAGTCAGTATTCTACGGAAATTTCAATGGATACTGCTCAGTATAAATTTGTTGATAAACTTATTTCAAAAATGTTAAACAAAAAGTTGATTTTTTATATTACACAAAGTATCAAAGATGTATCCAATTTCATTGGAAATGACTGAAATATTTCAGGAAAGCAGCTTATTGTTGATAAGTTTGTTAACTGAGTCTTGTTTTCACTTGTTTTTGCTGAAATAGTTTTCTTCTGTTGAAATTCCACCTTGAATAGAAAATATTTGAAAATGATGTGAAATTTCGTCTCTGAATGAACCCTGGCCCCAGTCTGTCTCAAAATGCTAACGAGAGCCCTGGAGGGGAGACCTTTCACTATTTGTATTACTGTTTATAGCCAAACTCCTTTTTCTGCTGTTTTATTTTCTGTTTTATCCCTACAACAGGGATGTTGTAGCAACAATTTTATACATGTAGTTTGTTGTATAAGATTAATTCTTTTCATTATTTAAAAATGTACTGTATTTTCTTTTTATGTTGTTTGATGTATATGCATACATTCTTTTAACTCATTTATATACAAAGTTTTATAAAAGTTTATTTACAAGTATTATTCTCTAATATCTGTGTTCAACAAATATCCTTTTAAGTGATAGGATTAGTATTACCACTTTTGTGTTTCTTTTCAATGCAATTATAAAATGATAAAAGGATTGACACCCTAAAGGTAATCAAATCTGTTGTTGTGTAACATGTTGGTTCATTGCTGTCCAATTGAGTTGCTATGGTTATCATAGAAACCAACCTTGACAGTCAAAGCATATATAAGGGTAAACCTGGGGCACATTTTTATGAACAATAAATTTATACAGGGGAACCAACTTTTATAACAGGTTAGAAATTAATTTATTTTCATATTTGTAAGTTGTTTTTTTTGTTTACTAAGATTACAAATATGTTTGTACAATATTTTTTTTACCTTAATAAGATTCTGTATCATGTTTTCAATATTACAATATTTTTCTCTAAGATGTTCTATCATGTTTTATGTAAAACATATTTCTATCTTAACGTATTAACAGAGAATTTCTAAATAATTCTAATTTTCTAATTACAAATTTTATATAGCTATTCAGTTCCAAATTGTCCTCTCATTTGTAAAACATAAACGTGTATAATTCCCTAATGTTAAATCTTTCTTGTTTTATTGTGATGATTGTAAATATAGATATACACTTTGCTTGAACAATAATTTTATACAGTGGAACCAACTTTTGTTACAGCTTTATTATTTGAAAAATAAAGAACAGACACTAAGAAAGTTATCTCGAGAAAATAAAACAGAAGAAAAAGGAGTTTCATTATAAACAGTAATACAAATAGTGAAAGGTTCCCCTCCCACGACAAAATAAACAAACAAGAAATAAACCCTGTTACAACTATAACTTTTTCATCTCCTAAGGTATAAACTTCAAACCACATCTTATGTAACAAAGTTAATAACTCTACCACCAATATTTTTAGATTTATTTCCCCTTGAACTTAGAATTTTGCCTAAAAAATATTATGTTTTACTGTTACTTTATTTCTTAAGGGATCAACTTCATGCTTCAAATATATGTTTCTTATCATTAACCACATCTTATGTGACAAGGTTCATAACTCTAGCACCAATATTTTGAGATTTATCTCCCCTTGAACTTACAATATTCCTTAGAAAATATTATTTTCTACTGTTACTTCTTTATTGATTAAAGGATCAACTTCATATATCAGCTTTATTTCCCCTTAAATAACTTATACTGGAAATCAGCACCGTTGGATGAAAAAAATTCCCCATGAATATTTGGCATCTTATGTAAAATTGATAATTTGAGTCAAACCAATGCATTTTTTCGCAATCTGTCCAGTGCCTGCACCATTCCTAAAGCAGGGGAAAAAACACTGAATATATGTTCTTTATCATTAACCACATCTTATGTGACAAGGTTAATAACTCTAGCACCAATATTGCAAGAATTATCCCCCTTTGAATTAGATTTTTTACTTGAAAAATGTTATTTTACTATAATTTCTTTAGTTTTGAAGGTATCTTCTTCAACATTCAAATTCATATTCCTTATCATCAACCACATCTTGCGTGACAAGGTTCATAACTTTGGAAGCAATATTTTTAGATTTATCTTCCCTTAAACTTAAAATTTTCTTTAAGAAATATTATAACTTCTTTATCTTTTAAGGTATCTTCTTCAAACTTCAAATATATATTTCTTATCATTACCCACATGTTGTTTGACAAGGTTCATAACTAGTGTGACTTTATCCAGAAAATATTCCTCCTTGAACTTGGAATTTATGTTAACAAATGTTATTTTTTAATATTACTTCTTGTCATATGATAAAAGTTATAAAACTCAAGCTCCAGTATTCCCAGAATTATCTTCATGTCATTTTTGAACTTAGAATTCATTTGTAAATTGCTATTTTTTTAGTACTTTCTTTGTTATTATTATTGCAATCTAATCTAGACTTAAGATAATTAATTGTTTTTTGTCATTACTCACATCATGCATGACAAGGTTCATAACTCTAGCATCTTTTTTCAAGAGCTATTTCCTCTTTAAACATATAATTAAAAAACTTCAACTTCTGTTTGTATTTTTGTTTTTGAAGGGATTTACTTCAGATTTAAAATTGCTGTCTCTTCCATTAAAGCATAGAAATGACCATTTAACATTTATTGACAAGGTCATATGATATTATGTTGTGCAAAAATATAGCACATTTTAGTGCTTTCTTAATACTGATACAGAGTGATATTTATATCATAACTGATTTCTATAAATCCTCACTTAACAGTTTTATAATCAGTTCAAATGCCACTATAAAGTTAAAGGTACATATACATTGTAAGGGCAGTGTTTATAAATAATCTATATTTAAGAAGAACATGCCTAACTGACACCTATATTGTTGACAAGGTGACTCATCCAACTTGCGGAGTTTTAAGTTTAAAGTAAATTTCATGTGAAAACTTTGGCATAGAATTTTTTAAAGGTATACTGATTTTGTTAAGTTTTGCAATTGGCCTTTCCTTACAAGTGATTTATGTTTAAATGCTAAAAATGATCTTTTAGGGTCAAGAAATGATGAAGGTATTAGGTTATCTGTGGTCATTTTGAAAAGATTATAATTATGATGTTTAATGAATATCCATTAATGTGCAAGTCTACATTTAATAATACTATTAGCAAATCTCCTATCTTGTCAGAACAAGAGTTATTGCCCTTTAATTTTGCAAATATATAGTGTTTTAGGAAGATGCTTGGAGTTTGATGGGTATTTGACTGTTATTTATTCGTTTACAGTTGAAACGTGTCCAGTCAGTTATCAAAGATCGTGATGCTCAATATAAACATGAGTTGAAGAAAAAACAAAGGGAGGTAAACAGACTCATGGAAAAACTACATCAACTTCTCATGGATAAAAATCCTGATAGAAGAATAGGTATGATGAAAAAGAATGTATATGGCCATGGAAACAGTGTGTTGTTATTAAAAATAATAATTGAGCCGCATCGCGACAAAATGAACGTAATGCGTTTGCGACCAGCATGGATCTAGAACAGCCTGCGCATCCAAGCTATCAGTTTCTCGTCTTGTAATAGGGTTTGTAAGCGAACAGCATGGATCCTGATCAGACTGCGTGGATGCGCAGGCTGGTCTGGATCCATGCTGGTTGCAAATGCACTATGTTGGTTTTGTCACAACACGGCTCAATTATATCCCAACAGTGATTTTATAGCTAAATAAAATCATAGCTAAATAAAATCAATGTTTGTAGTTTGGAAACCAGGAATTATATCAAGATGGCATGATAGTGATGCACATCCAAACAACAAACAGTGATTTTATCAAGCGATTGGGATCTAACATGACATCAAAAATAAATGCTGCCATACCTAATATATTAAACTTAATAGCGTCTGATTTGTTTCAGTACTACTTTCAGCACATCACATTTTTAATGGTTACGTCAACATGTCTAATGGTTATGTCACATGTCTAAATATAGAACATCAACAGAAAGTTTACAAGAATGTTGGTCAGCCTGTGTGGGTATTGCTTGTGGATTTATTTTTAAAGTTCTTGCCCTTTACTTAGTAAAAGATTTTTAGTTTTCAACTTATAGCACATGTAGCCCAAAACATATTTGACCTAGAGACATAAGATTGACAAAACAGTGGAGTGTGAGGGCACCCATGTCCTATGGACACATTTCTAGTTGCATATTATATGTAAGGCATGAAATATATAGACAATTTATCCGTTTAATGAATAAAAATTTTCTACAATTTTGTGAGCATCAGCAGTTACATTGCACTGTTTGCTATGCCAGTCATGAAAAATCTGCATCTTCCGTTTACTCAGTAAATTATTATTTGTTTACAATATAAGTAAAATGTAACTTTATGACATTATATATTACTTAGGATAAAGCCTACAGTATTGTACTATTTCAACAACTGTTTATATTTTTGTATTTCAGGTATGGATATGGAAGGATATTTACGAAGGGGAGATAATAAAAGAAGTACATGGAAAAACACTGCCAGTAGCAATAAGTAAGTTAAACCATAGTGACTTAAGTCATTCTTGTCATTATATTTGTAAAAATATCTTTTATCCAGAATAAGTATTCTGTATTCATTAGGACTCTGCTGTAACACAATTTGTTAATTGTTTGTTTGTCTGGTTAAGAGGCCATTTTTATGCTCCTGAAGGGTGGCATATCAAAATTGTACTGTCCATCTGTCAGTGCATCCCCACTTACACAACATTTGTGTCGGACTGTAACTTTGTCATAAATAGAATGATTGATCATGATGATGATGTGTTACATCTAAGATGCGGGTCACTACCTCAAAGGTCAAGGTCTCACAGTTTGAAGGATCACACTCTCTTAATTAGAGTAAAGGTACACATATTCATGTCCAGACTGTAACTTTGTCATGCATAAAAGGATTTTTAAATAACGTAGCATATATGTCCACCACGTCAAGATGACTTGATGCATCCAAGACCCATGTCCCTACCTCCAAAGTCAATGTCACAATTATAGTTTAAAGTTATCATTTACTATTTCCACTTTTCTGACTTTTATTTAAAATTTAAAAGTTTGGCAACTTGAATGATAATGTAGCCATGTTTGAAATGGTATAAATGCGTCATAGTGTTATTATTCTGTTTATATTCTGTGTATATATTTCAGACAAGAAGAAATGTATCAGTTACTAGTATCAAACTACGAGGAGAAACAACAAGAACTGCGAGTAGAGAATAGTGACCTCCGAGATTGTTTAATAGATATGCAAAGAGAACTGTCCTCAGTGTTGAATACCTCCAATACCAATATGACCAGTATTCAGTCACAGGTACGCATCAGAACACATAATATGTTCTTTTTAAATTACTATTTTTAAATAAAAGAACTCCACAAGGCCCATAGGCCAAAAAACATATAATTTCAATTTCTTACATACCGGTAGATCAGCTAGGGCAATTATAACAGAAAGATATACAAAAAATAATTCAGAAATGTACCAAGAAATAAATTGAAAATTGGTTCTTGTGCCATCTTAGCCCAATTTGAGTGCGTCTATTTTCATAATTAGTGTTTCCGATATAACAGTGTGAGAGAATGATCAGAAATTTTGCACACAAGTTATAGATCTAGCCTTACATCGAATGGAATATTAATATCAAAAATTATTTCCAGTCCTGTCATGCCAAAAGTCCTCACTGTAGTCGTTTTAAAATGACAAATATCAGTTTTCAGTTTTTGGTGGTTAATCGTAAACAATTTATGTTCGCCACTTCTAATGTATGTTTCTCAAAGAATTTCAATCAAACTTTAACAGAACTATCATTATCATGTGCCCTGTTGCATACTATTGGGTAGTTGTGATTCAATCATTAATTATGTTTGATTGTTGTTTATATATAATAATGTGTGTGGTATATTTACAGAATGGCGATTTATCAGGAAGCAGTAGTGAGGAGGATCTTTCAACATCTTCCTCTGTTTCACATGATCTCAATGATGGTAAATATGTTCTTATCTCAATTACATTAGATATGTTCTTATATCAGTGGTGTTAGGTACTTTATTATCTAAGTGATGTTAGATTATGTTGTTATCTCTGTGGTGTTAGATATGTTTTTATCTCAGTAACATTAGATATGTTCTTATCTCTTTGGTGTTAGTTACATAATTATCTAAGTGATGTTAGATTATGTTGTTATCTCGATGGTGTTCGATATGTTTTTATCTCAGTAACATTAGATATGTTCTCTTTGGTGTTAGATACTATATTTTTATGATGTTAGAACTGCAAAGATGATAATTATGTTCTTACATTCATGATGGAATTTTTTTTTGTCAAATCAATAACTAAGATATGTTATTACCTGAATGTTATAAATAAACAATATGTCTTTATTTCATGTTCTCATCTCAGTCATGTTAAATTTGTTTTTATATCGTTGATAAATATGTCTTTTCTCAAATGAGCGAAATTTACATTCTCATTGATAAATATATCTTTAATCCAAAGACAATGCTGTTTGTGATATGGAAAAAAAACAAGTTATGTAAAGTAGGTAAATTATTTGGAAAGTTTTATTTTACAGATTTCTTCCAGATGCCTTATGATCTTCTACGAGAAAATCTTCAGAAAAGTTTTCAGGGAACATGTAAACGTTTACGTCATAGTATAAGAAAGTGTTCATTAGATACTCAGTCATGTAAGATATGTTTTAAATCTTGATTTATTAATATTAATGCTTATAGTGTCATTACAGGTGTTTACAGCCTGTCATTAACAATTCAATTTATTGAATTAATGGTGACACCTGTTGAAATGACCTAACTGTGTTGGAAGCTATAAATCTTATTGAAACACCCTTGAATCCTTTTCTGGAACCAACCAGTACCAAGCAATGAGTGTAAAGTTCTTGCTCAAGGAAATAAAGGCTTCCCCTGTTGGGGTTGAACCCTTGTGTCAATCATTAGATTAATAGTCTGACAGATTAACTAGTCAGCATTGCCACAACTGTTATTTTCACTTTTCTAAATTAACTAAAAATTTAGAAGTCTTGCAACTTTAATGTTAAGATAGTCATGTTTCAAAATGTATATATGCGTCAAAATTTTATTATTCTGTATAAGATTTTGTATCTTTATTTCAATGGAAGAAATGTATCAGTTGGTTATATCATATAATAATATGATGTATCAATTGCACTGTTTTGCCAGAAAAATCATTTTTATTGTTATATGATGTAGATTCAGGGACCACTGTGTCAAGAAATCTATGGGCATGTTATTTTATTTTGAATGTTTATTCTATTTATGTACATACATTGTAAACGGTTTTAACTGAAACGATTTTGAAGATGTACAATTATAGCGGCACAAATTGCATGCTTGTACATCCTTGCAGTCGGACCATGGCTCTTTACTGTCTTCTGCACAAATTTACTATTTTGATAACTTGAACCCCCTTTGATATACAATGAACAGTTCCGAATCAGGTCAAGTCCATTATCTCAGAATTAGGAGGATAGTTCATTTTCATTTTGGTCAGACAATATTATGAAAAATCTTTCTCCAGCTGTCAGTTCATACCAGAACATGTAGTAGCTCAAGGGTAGCTGTTTATGACAATAATGGTTCTCAGCTGAGTTTTAGCTAAACACAGAGTCTTCATTATTAACAGATTGGCGATCCATATCATTGGTTAAAATGCAGTGGTATTTTCAGCCTGTTGATAAAAATATCCACTTTGACCCTTGGCCAAATCAGTTATTTTGTTTGCCTGAGATAAAATGAAAACCCTGCAACAGCTACCCAAAAGCCAGATATTCCAGTTATGTCCCTTCAGTGTACTAAAGAAATGATACTGTACAACACACAATATGAATTGTATTGATTTGAGATACTTTAACATAGAGATGATATCATTTTATAAAAAAAGATGTTAACCAGGAATTCATTTTATCCTGCTTCTGCCTATATTATCAGCTTGATAGAGGCCTTGCAGGTTAAACTTCTCTATCTCCAGGCATTATGCCACATGGTTAGCCCAATATGATGTCACATGGTTAACAGCAAAACAAAATTACATATAGAAATTATTTTGTAGGTGACGACGATTTAAATGATCTAAAAACATGATTTAAATAGACAAAAGCAGGATACATCTAATACATTGTTGTTGTTGTTGGAATGGAGAAGGTTTATCTGATTCGATGTGAAAGCTTAAGCGAGCCTAGATACACTTTCTGGCTCACAGGATAAACCTTCTCCATTCTGACAACAACCATGTATTCTCTATTTTTGGAGGGCATTGATGAGTTGTTTTTCATTTACAGCACCAAAGTCTCATGTGCAGCAATCTAGTCAGGGTAAATCATCGTCTCGTCATATTGACGATAACCGTGAAAGTGAACGATGTCAGGAAGAGATGGATAAACTCAAGAAACAGATTGATAAATACAAAGATATTGTGAAACAACAGGAACAACTTATACAGGTACTTGATTATATATGTAAATATATACCTGGAAATAAGTTAGGCACACATGGCATTTTGCCTCAAATTTGACATTACCACAACTGAAATTTTAAATTTTATTTGGGCAATGGTACGAACCGCCTGTTTCAACCAGCAACAACTGGAACAAGCTTTATATCAAGAATTGCAAAATTTACCCCAAAATCGAATTAAAAGCCTTACTGGTAGTATGATGAGAAGGGTTTGGGCTATCATTCAGGCATGTGGCGGTTACACACATTAATATTTGGCTACATAATGTCATTTTAGGTTATGTAATGGTTAACATTTACCAAAAATATCCCCCAGTAAATGTTTTGTAAAAGCTCCAACACCATACTTATAAACACTTATGGGCACCTAACATGTTGTAGTTTTCATATTTATAATATCTTTAAAGAACTTGTTTCCTCAAGGGCTTATGTAGTTAGTTTTCTAGTCTCATTAATTTATAATCTCAGTTAGTAATGTAAAGATCTTCTTGTAAAAGCAAATTCTGTGATTTTGTCAAAGTTAACTGATCCAAAAAATATGTTTGTGTATCAAGCTAGTGGTTTATTAGCTCATCTGTTTCGTAAAATATTCAAGCGATTATGATTGCTGTGGTATTGTCCTTGTTATTGTCCCCGTCTAAAATCTTTGATTTAGCCTATCGATTTTTAAGGTACCTATATGGAACTTGGATTACTTGCTTATTATGACAAGAGGCAATTATATGACAAGGGGCATAATTCTGAAAGCTATATTTTTGGAGTTATGCCCCTTTTTAACTCAGATGTTTTTTTTGTCAAAAGTTATTATTTTAACACAGATAAGTGTTAAGATGTTAACACCACATGTGGTGATCTTGTTTTATATTTAGCAATCTCTGAGTACACAGTCAAGGTCAATGGAGAACACGTTCCTCCAAGAATCTCAAATCCTTCAAGAGAAAGAGAGCTTATCTGAACAACGTAGAAAATTCTACCAGGAGAAGGCGAACTTTGAAGAAGAACGGAGAAAAAATGCTGAAATTTCTATGCAGATACAACATGAGGTAACAGTTTTGGGCCTAAAATAAGATAGTGTTTGTTTGCTGCAGGACAGACCAAAATATTTTTGCCTGTCTGAAATGTTATAGGCCAAATTTTGTTTAAAAAAGAAAACGCATAAGAGTTACTTTTGTTCTATTCAGAATTTATTTTAGTTCCATGGTTAAGGAAGCTGTAATCTTATAGACACATTTCCGAATCTGTTCCTGTAACCAACCAGTACTGAGCAATGAGTGTAAAGTTTCTTGTTCAGGGAAACAACAACTTGTCAGTAATGGGGTTTGAACCCATGTCACTAGCCATCAGTAGTTTACTAGTCTGACGCATTAACCACTCGGCCATGCTGCCACTTTTTGTTGCCTTTCAAAATTGATGAAAAAGGAGTGTTTTTAAATGCATTTCACAAATAAACACTCAGATGCATTTCTGTATTGAAAAAAGTTAAACTGTATTGAAATATATTTAAAAATTGTTGATAATGACCATCTGTGAACTTGGATTACCTGCCTGCTTTCATAGACCCTATTGTAGTTACCATACAATGTATAAGCATTCACACCATAATACATGGCCATATCCTTGTCTCTTAATACAAACTATTTGCAAAGAAAAACTTCTATAATTATAACTGTCCCATGATTTTATTGATTTGAATTTTTCACAACTTTTAAGTTATATTGCTACAACCAAAATAGTATAAGAAATTATTTTCATTGTCTTTTGCTTCACAAGGGGCTATAATTCATGCAAAATCAATGCAAGAGTTTTGGCCACATGATAACACACTTTCATGAATGGAGATATTCATTAAAAGCAATCCTCGACTAAAAGTTAAGCTTGTGGTGGAAAATCTTCACAATATTTTGGAATGTTAAAGATAATATTTAGGGGTTTTTATCAGTTTTGTCTTTTGGGTTAGAAAGGCTTAAATTTTGCCTGTTTTTATACGCAAAAAAATCACTGGTGTTTGAATTTGTGTTCTCTTATTGCAGAGGAAACAGCTGGAAGAGGAAAAAGCAAGCCTTTTAAGGACTCAGATTATACACATGTCACCATATAATACATCTAAGCCTCCTACACCATCCAGATCAAAAGGTACCGCCTCTTATTTTAACACTCAACCTGCTGGACCATAGTGAATAACCTTTTGTGACCACTATAGAGTTCGGCCAGCCAGCCTACATTTATATGCAGTCTGACCAGGCTCTATACTGTTGATAGATCAATTTATTTTTATTTTTATACTGAAATCCCTTAAACTTTGAATGGACTGTTCCAAATTCAAAGCCAGGCAAGTCCATTATACAAATTCAGCAGGTTGAGGGTTTGTTCTTTTCCTTTTTTTTTATAATGAAGTTCTATTTTTAATTCATATTTTATCTGTAACTTTTTTCTGTTGATTTAAAATAATGTTAGGTCTTCAAACAGATTGGTGATAGATTGTAGTTATAAAATGATTTTGATTGAGTGTTGCTGTTCTAATGATTTTATCTCGCTTTATTTGTCTTTTCTTTACATTCAGAAATAATTTCTTAAAAATCAGATAATTTAGGAAAATGAATTCATTTACTTTTAAGTTTTATTTTTGTGGAAGTATTCATTGATATTTTTAGATGTTTTATAGAACAAATATTAAAGAAAGTTTAAAGAATAAGATTGTGCCTAGTTCAACAGGGGGACAACTTCTATTTTTGAATTGCAAAGTAGTGATAGAAAAATTGGTTGTCTCCCTGACATAAGTTAAAATTGAATGTAGCATTTGGGAAGAATAAATGTTTTTGGGGGGATGAGAGGGAAATACAAAGTGCTTTGTAAGGTAAATGTTTCAAATATTTTAAATAAATCACCAATTAATGGGTTTACATAAAATTTTCAAAATCTTTCATCCGCTAAATTATCTGATTTTACAATGTTTTTTTATCAGGCCATCCTTAAAAAAATGTTTGTTTGCAGTAACGCGACCAACTCACAAAATTTGCCCCTACTCAAATTTTTTTTTCATGGTCTGGATAAAAAATTATTTTTTTTGAATCAGAAAATTATGCCTTGTGCTTTGTTTTCGTTCTGTTAAAGGTTAATAGAAGAAATAAATTGTAGGTCTTATAAAATTAGAATTCAGTTATCAATTTATTACTTGTTACCAGATTATCAAAGCATATATTGTCCAGCATTTTGAAATTCCATGTTTATTTGGGAGTACAGTTCAATAAAAAAAAAAAAATCAACCTACCTACCCACCTTGAAAATTCTGGGTCGGGTTACTGCAAACAAACTTTTTTTTAAGGATGGCCTCATGCTTTCAACTAAAATCAAAATGAATTTGCTAGTCATCTTTAGAACATCAATCTTATTCTGTAGTGGTTTTAAAATGTTCTGTCTAATACCTTTTAATAGATAGTATAAAAATAGGTATGTTTTCAATGTTTCTTTAATTAACCTTTTGTTTTTTCTCTCGTGGTTTACTTGTATTAGAGAAAACACGTCTTCTACCATCGACTCCAGTGTTTTCCCCAGCTCCGGGGAAGTCAAATAGTGCCTCAACCTCTTCAGCTGAACTTCTTAAAATGCTCAGTCTCTCAAAGAAGAAAAGTACTCAGTAAGTCTTTGAATTTTTTCTATTCTAGCACCTAGTGTTGTTGCTTAATATTATGAATATTTGGGAAATTAATTTTTTTAGCTTGACTGTTCAAAGAATAAGGAGAGCTCTTGTAATATCCCAAGGATTGGCATCACACTTTGGTTAAGTTTTTGCATGCAAGTTGGTATCACCAAAACAACTGAAAGGAATTGGTTTAAACTTCATACACTTATTTAACAGCATAGTAGAAGGTCACTATTTAAGGTCCATAACTCTATCATGGATTTTGACAAAATTATGGCCCTTTTAGGAAAATTCTACATGTACATTATCCAGGCTCTTGTTTTACTATTGAACATCGAGAAACGTCAAGCACACTGTCCCACTGACAGATCTGGTTTTATTGGGAATTGATGAATTGTTTAAATCTACTAAGTTTATTATAATTTATGTAAGTACAAGTCATACTAAATAACATTTATCTGTTTAAGTTGTTGTTTTTTTAATGCATTTTGTTTGACTATGATACTAACAGCTTGTTTTTAAGTGCTAAACCTTGACAATTTACTTAAATTGACTTTGTTTAAAGTTATTCCAGCCCCATGACCACTTGTTGTTGGTGTTGGTGTTGTTCTTGTTGTTGTGGTGTTATAACTAAAGGTGGAAATGTCATTTTAGTGTTGTTTCATTGGTAAAAAGTTAATGTTGTTGTTTTTTTTTATTTTCATCTGCATAATAATTAAGTGATATGGTCATATATTTAAATGCCATGTCAAGTTCATAAAACGTTTCAGAATTCATTACTTTTGGAAAGGTGAATAATGTTATTATGTCTTTCTGTACTGTGATCTTGAATTGTGTATGTAAACACTAGAATTGAGACTTTGCTTACTTCTGCCTGTCTATTTATGATGATGCAATCTATAATATGTAACATAAAATTCTTCAGACCAGCTTACTTAATAACGCTGGCATGAAAAAATGACCCTTAACGTCATTTTACAAATGACCTCAAAAGACGTTAACGATAAAAGATGATTTATTTCCCTTGAAATGTAGAAGTCAAAGATAAATATGATTAGGTAACATTTAGCAAATTTCAAAAGTATCTTTATTTATTTATTTGTTTAAGAGCTATAGAATTTAATTTCATTAAGATATCAATATGCCAATTTAAAAAAATAGTAAGTGACATTAAGGATTGTTTTCTCATGCAGGCAGTCTTATCACATTCTCAACAAGGGGTGCAATTTTAGCTGTTTATGTAAGCTAAATTCTTGGCCTGCACTTCAATGACCTATTCCAGCTAGTGTACAATAGCTTTGTTTTGGTGTAATAAAAAATGGCATTTTTCGTTCATATTGTATTATTTTCTTTCATAATGTATTGTTCACTTTATGTTCTTCTATAGATTGTTAACTATGATATCGTGAATATTGACACCATTATAATATGTTTGTTACTGACTGCTTGATAAAAAAAACTTATCTATCCATTGTATTCTATTCTATACTTTCTCCTTTTCTCTGAATGTCTCAATTTCACAATAAAATAACAGGAGAAATATGTGAAAAGGGAATGTTTTACATATCTAATTGTTTATACCATCCCTTTACTAAACATATTATGTATAAACATAAAAAGATACATTTAATATTTCAACAATAGAAATTACACTGCACCTTTGAAGACTTTCATCAGGATTTATTTGGGCAACCCATCCACCCCCACCGTCCCACTCACCACCAACCACATTCCACCCCAATGTGTCTGTTACTAGAAATAGAAAAATGGATTTCAGCCAATAACTTATGTTATGAATGAGAAAATCTAATTAAATCTGGGGTAAAGCAAGCTTATGTGAAAACCACTCATGAGATCGCATTTGGGCCAGCTATGGTCAGTGTCACTGTTACTAAAAATAGAAAAATGGATTCCTCTCGATAACTAGAGATAGAAATTAGATTACCCTAATAAATTTTGTGTATAGCTAGTTAAACAGATAAAAAATTAATGTTCATCTATTTATTCTATATGTAAAAAATCAAAAGGCCTTAATTCCTCCAAAAAATTATTTAATTGCAAAATGCTCACAATACTTATACACCATGGCACTTGATGACAAAGCTTTTGTGAAACATTAAAGCTGAAAAACCTGGTTTTGTCACATTGCGGTGTTTTCTTGTACTTTAATTTTTGAATTACTTTATCAGAATGTAAGTAAACCAAAATCTTATGACCAATGTTTCACCCTCATTACCTGATTGAATAATGTGATAGATTTTGTGTGAAAATATCAGATTTTTCTGGTACATGTGATATTTTAATTATGAAAAGGTGCCTGTAATGTTCGTCATTAACAGATACAGGTGTGTATGGCACTTTTCTAAGGTGTTTCATTGTTTTTGGGATAATTTACATGACCTTAAAAGACTAGAAAAAAAGGCAGTAGATAGGGGTTAAAAAAGGTTATCATATAGAACTTTTTTAACAATGCTGTTATTTTTTCAGAAATTTTTTTAGCACATTCCTTTTTAAAAAAAAGCAACAATTTGAACCTGAGAAAATACTGTAAATTGATTGTTTTTAGGCCCCAAATAACTGTTCAATTTTTTATTTTTTTTTTTTAGGCTTTTTTCACTAACATTACACAATCAGACTCTCCATTAATTTTTATAAAAAAATGCCCAGAGTAAGTTAAAAAGTCTTAATAGCTGTAGAAAGTAGGAAAATTTCTATTATTTGCGTACAATTTACCCGTATGTTTTATCTCAAAAAAATTGATACGTTCTTTCCCCTTTTTTTTCGAGAAATTTGGGTTTATCTGGGTTTATTTTTCAAAAAAGGCCAAAAATTGAGCTTCTAATGATTTTTATTTGACGTGAAAAAAAAAAGTTGATTTTTGCTTTTTGTCTTTGAATTTCCCTTTTAGAATTCCCCTGTTTTTTTCCCGTGGATTTTATAAAGGGTCTGATTATGGAGGCCCTATTCTTGTTCCCGGGTAGTATTTTACCCTGGTTTTTGCTTTAAATTTAACATTACACCCGAATTATCCAAATCATCTTTCTTTTTTTGCGCCCTGGAATAATTTTTTGATGTTCCCTTAAAAAAAAACAAAACAAAAAACAAAAAATTCGGAAACACTTTAATTTTTTTTTTTTTATTTTTTTTCTGTTAAAAAATTGTTAACAAAATTGTCCCGTGGTTAGAATGGTGCCTTTTAATTGGGATATTTTTCTTCTTAAGTGTTTAGGTGAAAAACCCCTTTCCTAAAAGGGAAAAAAAAACCCTTTAAATATCAGGGGGTGCTTAAACCATATTTATGATAGAAAGGGTTTAGCTGTATTAGAAGTATGCTGTATGAACTAGACTTAATATGTCAAAAATTTTAATTAGGAGTGGACAAAACAGAGACTTCAATTATTTCAAAGGATAAACTCCAAAATAGAATATTCCGGCCTCCCCACAATTAGAGCAGATTAATTGGGCCCTTAAGAAAGGCGATTTCTGCCCTCTTGTTTTTAAATATTTAAAAGTATAAAATTATAAAAAAGTTCAAATTTTTTTTTTGCAAATTTTAAGATGATGGATGGGGTTTTGGAAAATCACGAAAAATGTGAACTTGGTGAATTAAACGGGCAGTTTAAGTATATGTATACTCCCTTTTCCATTTAAATTATGCTCTGTGGTTTAAAAATTTTGTATTTTTTTCTTTTCACAAGTCCCCAAACGCCTAAACAGAGTAAAAGAAATTTTTTCTCAGCAGTTCATGCAGTCTGCCCCTTTGCACCGTGATTTTAACCCAAATTTATCAAGGTTTTCCCAAAAGCTCTTTTGAAAGGTTTTAAAAAAAATCTGTGCATCAAAACGTCATCATTTGATAATGTGACAGAAAATCTAAATTTTAACGTTTATTATGAAGTTGGGAAAGTTTGTTTCGAGATACAAGAAGAAAAATTTCAGCTTTTCGTATAGAGGAAGTGATGGTTTAACCCCTTATATTGGGGTAAAAATTGTGATTTTTTACCATTTAAAATGCCCCTATTTGCTTTTGCCTTAATTAAATGGGAATTGGGTGCTTTTTTTTTTCATTCAATTTAAAAATTTTTTTTGTTTTTTATCAATTTATTTTAAATTTAAAAAAAAGATTTTTTGATATATTTATTTTTTATTTAAAATATAAAAATATCGTGTTTTGGGTAATTTGAAAAAATTATTTTTGCACTAAAAACCAGTTTAGAAGAAAATTTAAAATTAGTTTTGCTAATAAATGTCAGCATTTCTTTTTTTATAACTTGTTGATTATTTTGGATTCAAAAATATAAATAAAAAATGCAGGTAGCTTGACAGATTGAGTGCCAAATTGCCTGAAAATTATGCACTATTGATCTAAAGGTAGTCTAACTGCAATTCTTTCCCGCCGATAAATTCTAAAATTGGCCAATGTAGTAATAATCATTTCTGGAATGTTATTTTTCACAATCTTCAGTATTCAATAAATTTAACCATATAATAATAATATAACTTGAATTTAGTACATAGCAATTAAGTATGAGTGATTCTATATAATCTATTGCCCAAGATTTTGAAAAAATAATCGATTTGCTATAATACTGGCTGATGTTAGTATTTTTTGGCGGGAAAGCATTACATTAAGACTACCTTAAGCTGCTGAACATAACCTGTATTTGCCACCAGTATAGAGCCAGGCCAGCATGGACATTTGTACATGCTGACAAGGCTTATACTTGTTCCGTTTTCCATTGGGTGATATCTCTAATGAACTACTTAAATTCATGATGGAAGTTTGACGAGTGTGTTCCATCTTAGTATCTTTGGTCAAATATATTACAATATGTAATGTTTGTCCACAGTGTACATAATTTTGTTTGCTATCACATTAGCACAAAAAGTTACAATTTGGAAATTTATATATGCATTTTGTGGTAAGTTATGACCATTTTTAATTGAATAGTATGTTTGGGTTTTGTTTATTGTGCCTTTGTTCAAAATATGTAAAGGGGAGACAGGGTTAAACTTTTCTGTGT